ACGAACATCTCATGGCACTACAATCTTAAATTAAGAATATCTTGAAAAATTATCAGTAGGTAAGGTACGTTGTGTCCTTAACATGTGATTTTTATTTCACATTCTTTTAAGAAAAGTTCTACGTTCACATGAGCTACAACTGATGAGGAATACCGCATGTAGGCAGCTAAACTGAGTTCTCACCTATGCATTTTTTTGCATTAACTGTGGTTAACTTGGTTAAAGGTAACAGCATTTAAGTGCGTTTACCTAGGTGAAAAGAATTCAGCATAAAGTGCGTTTACCTAGCTGAAAGATATTAGCATTAAGTGTGTTCACCTGTGTAAAAGGTCTCAGCATCAAGTGCGCTTACCTGGGTAAAAGACTTCAGCGTTGACCTGGGCAATAGGTCTCGGCATTCAGTGCATTTACCTGGGTACATGTAAAATGTCCCATCATTAAGTGTATTTGCGTGGGTAAAAGGTCTCAGCATTAAGTGCGTTTACCTTGGTAAAAGGTATCAGCATTAAGTGCGTTTACCTGGGTAAAGGTCCTGGCATTAAGTGCGTTTTCCTAGGTGAAAGGTATCAGTATAAGCTGTGTTAACCTGGGTGAAAGGTATCATAAAAGGTATATAAAGTCATGCCTACACGAACCACCAAAATTGAAATCCATTGCTTAAAATGAATGTAAAAGGTACAATTGCCAAATTTATTGTTTGAAGCACAATCAGATATTTAGATAGTTGTGATGCATTGGCGTTTTAACTTGCATTTCATTTATATAAATCACGTTTCACCTGTTCGAAATGATGAAATCATAAAAAATGTATTGTCGGAATATCTTATCAGCAGAACATAGTTATGTATAGAATAAGATGCTGGAACCTTGAGCTGTCATTATTAGTATATTAGTATGTTTCCGTGTACGTGATACATTCAATTACTAGTACCCAATGCTACATTTACCTTATCGTACCATATCGTACGGACTGTCAGGACGAAACAATCAATTCCCGATACGAAAAGCATGAACGTTTATCATCATAATATCTTCTTTTTCTATGATCCACTTTCAGATTGTCAGAATGGTACATGTAGTTTTGACATAAAATGTTGCAATTATTGCAACTCTTGATGTAAGAAATACCCTTTCTGTAAAGAAAATTACCACTAGGGTAAAAGTTAATATAACTGTTACGTGACTGTAATCCTCTCGATCCAAATCAACCACTACGTACAGTGAGAATATATTTTTAAACTGAGATTTCTATTAAATTCCTTATTTTACTATTCATGTAAATTAAAAAAAAATATGTACAATTTTTATACATTAAGCATAAGCGTCGGAAACAAATTGAAAGAAGGGGGGGGGGGGGGCTAAACCAAAAAAATAGATATTTAGATTAAAGTTTGCCTCAATGCACTGTACATTTTATGTACCATTTATTCATATTCATTAAAAGTTGTTCCATGTATAACTTTCCCATTGTACTGGCTACTTAGTTGATTGGGTAATATAAATATCAACATCATTTCTGTCAAAAAATTTGAGTTGAATGTCGTTAGATTGCCCTTTTCAAGGAATTTGAAAGCTGAAGCGACTTAAATATGCTACATGACAATGGATTCACGAGCAGTGATTTTGACAATGATATCACAGATATACATGTAGTAGCTGTATCAGTAATCTTGGATCAAATAACTTTGGATTGTTCTACTCATTTCTACTAGCATTGTAACACTTTTACAATCTTTACGTTGAAAGTGCACGCCACCCAATGTTTGCATGTACGAAAAGCAATGGAACAAACAGCAATAAATTTCTGTTGCCACTTATTCAGAATGCAACGACCTCTCGATAGTATGCGAACTAAAATTTAAAAAAATGTAAAAAATTTACTTAAACAAGACCAATCGCTTGAAACTTTTTCTACCACTTACCATGTTTCAAATTGTAATAAGAAATGCATGACTATAATTGTACAAAGAAAACAAAACCGCTTTCTGCTCGAATTACTGTTTAATCTAAACAGTAAGTTCTGCTCAGTTCCGGAGAATAGCCTTACCACCAAGTTTTGGTATTTAGGAATTTGAATTTTACTTGGCATTGAATTGAACGGTTCATTACATAACAGATGTGAGCTCACAGTTTACAGGAAAATGCACATCGTGCTTTCTTAATGCGATTAAGCTTGACATTTGTACAAGACAAGCAATTAGAATATTAAAAGATCACAGAATCTACAAAAGTTCTCCCAAACTTTGGCATGGATTATTTCACATCTACGTCGTATCCTAAAAATGTAAATGTATTTTTTGTAAACACCTGACTCAGCCTGCACTGCCCCAGTGACATACTGTAATTTCAAAACCTGCAACTCTCAGATATGAAAATACAGGTTCCTGTGTAGAAATATGTATTTTGGACGTCGCGATCAGCTACTTGACTGTATTCTACAATGTCGACATTTCATGCATTTTTAAAGTACACAAAGAGGAAGTATTTAAATCTACAATAAAAGGAAACACTTTTTGCGTATTTCGTTCAGGTTAAAAGTACTTAAAATGGGTCTCTTATTCACATTATTTTGGTTAATGTTGCGTTTTCTTTCTTGAAATCATTAGAAAAATATCTTAGATAATTAAAGCCCAAAAATACATGTATTGCCTGGACTAAGTTACTTTTCTGACCCGAGTCTCCGGAAGACTTATCGGTATACCCCCTTATTTCATCACATGATTTCATCCCAAATCAATATTCCACACTATTAAAGCAAATTAACTTTCAACTTTATTAATTCATGAAATATTATTTCAAAAATTCATGATGTATCCCTTTTATTTGTTCATTTAAAAAAATGAAAATTGGAAGGAAAAGTCTACCAAATAGAGAATTCAAAATTATTACAAAATTATAGATATCTCTGGGTATATGGTCATAATCAAGAGGTAAACCACCATAATCCTTTCTTTAGAATATAAGATTTAGATCTGATACATTTAAACAGTTGCAACCACTTTTGACATAACGATTACTATTGAAATAATTATTTTAACAGTAGTTGAGAATTCTATTGCACCCACGATTGAAATAACAACCACTGTTGAAATAATCATTTCAGTAATAGTTGAAAATGCATTTAAAAAAACAAAACTACATTGCAACCGCTATAGAAATAAAATCATAAAATAATACTATAGTTATTCGCAGCCGCTATTGAAATAATTATTTCATTTTTTTTGGTTCGCCTCGTTTTAAATTCGCTCACAAGCGAAAGGGGCGAAAATTTCCCTGTATACAGTATTTTATTGTGCTTTGCAAATACAACGACGTTCCAGAAAAAAATGCTTATGGCTTTTTGTGCCCCGCTTTCGCGAAAGCGAGGGGACATTAAATCTCATTCGTCTGTCCGTCTGTCACAAAAACATTAACCTTGGTCATAACTTTTGAATGAGAAGAGAAAGGGCTTTCATATTTCACATGTACATTACCTGTGACAAGACCTTTCTAAATACGCTATGATTTTTTACCCCGTGACCTTGACTTTGAAGTTTGACATACTTTTCAAAAATTTAAACATTACTTTAAACTGGTCATAACTTTTGATAAAGAAAAGATAGGGCTTATATATTAGACATGTATATTACATGTGACAAGACCTTTCTAAATGATCCTGTGACCTTGACCATGATGTTTGACCTACTTTTCAAAAATGTTATTTTTCCTTATAACTTTTGATTGAGAAGAGATAGGGCTTTCATATTTGACATGTGCATTACCTGTGACAAGATGTTTCTGAGTATCATATGAATTTTAACCCCTTGACCTTGACCTTCATGTTTGACCTAATTTTTCAAAAAAAATTAACTTTGGTGATTACTTTTGAATGGCATATGATAGGGCGTTCATATTTGACACAATATGCCATAAATAATCATGGCATCTCACCCACTAAGACACCGAAAGCGGGGGACCACAATTCTTTGAATTTGCTTGTTATCATTTATTTCTAACAGTGTAATTATATTGCTGATACGACATTATTTTACAAAGCCTGTTTCCTCTTTCATTTACATGTACTCTCTTGCCCTCAGCCGAGACAACAGTTTGAACAAAACTTGCAGCAGAATTCAAAGTCCGTACCCCCAATTATTCGCCCGTGTTCTTAAAAGATAAAAATAACAGTGTGTTTTATTTAATGCGTATAAAAACCAGCTCACAGTTTACTTTCTATCCTATATGCACTCATGTTTGATAGATTGCTAAAGTTTTACTTCATTTGAGAAACGCGATAGAATTGATGTTCCTTAACACCCAAGTCACACCTGTTCTGTGAATGCAATATATACTCTCTATGCTTAAAAGTCTTTATGCTGCTGACTGCCAAGAAATCCTTTAACACTAATATTTTTGATCAGATATTTTATGACTGATGGATCCGATTATATTGTTTTGGAAAAAAAAAGAGTTTCAAAGAGTTAATGGAGGGTTATCTGGGGCGGCATTCACCACCTTCTCCTTATCTGAATCGCACGTGTGCTTAACATCGATGCATTCCATTTAACCTTTTTAAAAATTTTAAGTGTTTTTGAAAAATGGACTCTTTTTTTCTAAATTATTAGAATACTAGCTATGCTTCTGTTGTTTAATCATCATAACTACATACTTCATTAACTCAAAATGATTTATTTCTCTTTTATCATAATATCCATCTAAGAGATATAATAAATTTCATTACTCTTTTAACCTCGTTTATAGTGGAGACCTATTTCACGGCTAAGTAACCTTTAAATCGCAGCCTCGCCATTCTATCAATAAATCAGAGATAATATATCGTAGGCGCGTGCCTCGGCCAAGATCTCCCAAACTAATACTAGTACAGAAAATGTATTTCAAAAAATTATGATTCCTTGGAACGTTTCCTCTCAACCTGCGGCGATAATTTGCCAGAGGGAGCGTGCGGGGTAATTATGTGATGAAAACCCAACTAACAGAATAAATAAGACAGCTTCACTCACCAATTTCTTCTTCCAGGTCCAATATGGTGTCCATCAATTCCTCACGACTTTCTCCTTCAGAAACCTTTGCATCTTTCTTGCTCGATGCATTTTCTTCAGTGCCACCGAAATTCTTCTTCTGCATAATTTCAATTTCCTTCATTAGCTCTGACATTTTCAATTGCAGATTTTGGTTTTCCAATTCAACAGCTTTCAATTGTTTTTTCAAACTTTCTGCATTTTCATTTTGTTTAGCCATCTCGCTGGTAGAGATTTCTAAAACTTTGGAATCTTGCGAAACAGTGTCTGTAATTATACTTGTTGTACTTGTTTGATCCGAAGGAGATGGCAAATAATTTCCATCTTTCGAGTTTGTAAACATTACATTAGCATCACTTAAAGATGTTTTCCCAATCATTTCAACATTGTTCTTTGCAGGCGATTGCCTGCTGCTCTCAAAGACCTGACTTTCAATTCGTATAGGACTTTTATTTTTACGTAACCTCTCATTCTGTAGTTCTTCTAGCTCGCTTACTTTGTCTTTGAGATCTGCGTTTTCTTGAGTTAAGAATTCCACGTGCTTCTTGAGGTCAACAACCTGCGAATACTCACTGTCAAATGAGTTACTTTTTCTCAATTTTGATGATTGCTTTGTTTGATAATTACATAACTGTACATATAAACAGTTATTTTCCCGCTCTTTTTCTATAATCCGCCATCTCAAGTCGTCTGCTTCTAGACTCATCTCTTTGAGCTTGTCTTCATAATATGCATTTGGTGAGGATGGTTCGGGCATCACATGAAGTAAATGATCTTTTTCCTCAACCACTTTCTTTAAATTTGCTATTTCTTCTTTTAATTTCTCGTTTTCGTTTCCATAGTCTTGAATTTTCTTCTTTGATATTAGCAAATCTTGTTCATTTAAGTCCAACTGAACCTTCAATTCCACTTCCGTTTCCGTAACTGTTCCCTTCTTTGGCTCTTCCCGCCTTGTTGCTTGGGCAGACGACATTTTCTTTAACTGCTGACTTAGCGTGTCATTTTCTTCTTCTAATTCTTCGAGTTTCATTCGCATGGACTTCGTTTCTTCCTCGGCGAACTTAAGCTGATCTTTGAGATCCGTCTCGCGTTCCATGCTATCGTATAGATCCTTCATTAATTGGGATACTTCTTGTTCTTGACTTCCCTGTTTTCCTATTCTTCCAAGAAGTATCTGAAAGAAAAAAGAAAAGGTGAAAAAGTAAGTATTTAATGGTTATATTTATTTTAAAAGCTGAAAGTACATGTGTTTTAACAGTTTAAAGAATGTGTGTACACTTCAGGCGTAATTTTTCGACAAATATCAGAAAGTCTATGTAACGTGTTCTAAAGAGAATATTAATACATTATTTGCAAATAATTTTCCTAGTACATCTAATAATGATTCGTTTTTGTTTTGTTTTTCCCTCAAATATTATTAAATTCTGCGTTCAAGAGAATGATAGATAATGAGTTTTGTTAACGCAAGAGAGGTAACTCTTTCATAATGTTGAAGAAAATTACGATTTTCCCGACTATTTACATAACACTATATACAGGTTTACATGACATGAGGAAATATTTCAAATTTTATTTAGTATTATTTACTTTGTCTTCTCTATTTTTCCACTAGTTTCCCTAAGATAATTAATAACTATTAAGAATTGAAGATACTGGTAAATGGACACATTTGCATGGATTCCTACATTTTTTTTTACATGTAAATGTTGAGGAACGTGCCCAGAGCTTTAGTAAAAACCATCTATAGACAGGTGGATCCAGAAATTCTTGGTAGGGAACTATCTTGAAAAATTCCATATATGCATGCTACATATGACATATGAATCTATTCAGTAAAATCATTCACTCTCTAGTCTTATAATATTTTATTTAGTGGTTCATGTCTTTTGTCTTCTATATTTATTCTAAAAGGGCCTAATTTATGGGGTGCGCCCCTGCCATTTACTCTCCCACTGATTAGAGGCTAATACCTAAAAATGATGTGAGGAATTTTTTGAGGGAAGATACTACTAAAAGTTTTCCGAGTTATCTCTCTTTGCTTATCAAAATATATTTGGCATGCCACTGTAAATGGTTTGAACGGACATAAAAGGACTGTCGTAACAAAACTTTTAACAAATAAAAGGACTCGGTTTGTAGTTTAAACCAAAGTTAATAAACCAGTGTTCATAACAGATAATTTGATCTCGAAACAACAATAAAGTGTTTACATGTAGCCATGGTGACCCTGCTGAGACACATAAAGGTTAAGAACTTGAAAATTTTTTGAAAAAGGATAATTAGTGCAGTTGATAAGGAACACTTGTAAGAGTGGTGTTTTATGAATTGGGTAGAATTCCACTAGAAATATTTGGAAAACGCAAAATAATCTGCTTTTGGTTAAAAGTAAGAACAACTTCATATTAAGATGGAGAATAATGACGCCTGGATTATGAATAGTACACTCTAGGCTTACATGTAGGTTTTACCCACCTTATCGCAGTAATCAGAAATATTTAAGTTATTTTAGATATAACTTAAAACGTTTTCAGAATTGCACAGTTGTTCTTAAATAGAAAGTAATAATTGAAATAGGTGGATCCTCACCACACTGCATTTGTTTTTGATCTGCAAGGGTATCGATTTAGGTAAAATATTTAAAAGCGATCACATGATTTAGATTATCCTCACATGACATAAAAATGAAACTTACATGTATAAACGGGTAGCAGATTATGTGATTTATGCAATGTAGATGAAGTTGATTTTCACTTTTTACCTATTTGTCCAGCTTTTTCATAATTTAAGAGTACAAGTATAAGTAAAATTAAGTATATATTAACCATTACTACTGTATTCTAAAAGACCAAGTGTCTTTTGTTTCAGTAGAGTACAAAAATATAAATATTAAGAAAATTTTGTTCTTTGCTCAAAATTAAAAAAAAAAAAAAACAATATGCTGTTACGGTATGTCATTATATATATGAAAGTATTTTAAAATCTATGAAATGTTTCTCAGAGAATAAAGAAATGAGCTGAAATGAAAGAGTTTGTTTTAAAACAAATGAAAAAAATCTCTTCACCTTTCTCTTATTTCGTGAAATTCACGTAAAATGATTCGAAATGACAGAGTATTATGTATTCTATATATATACATGTAATAGCAGTTTCTTTTCCATCGTCAAGTTCTACACACTGAGTACAAAGTATATTCAATTTATTGAAAATGGTTTTCAACATCGCAGAAGATAATAAATGAAGTTACATGTATGTGTACAATTAGCTGTTCAAATTAGGAAAGTGTCTCAAGTTTAATGGCCAGCTGGTGTCGCATAAACTTCGTATTTTTTAAACATGACGTAAATAAAAGCCGAATTACTTATTAGAATTATTTGATTGTTTACTTTTTATGTCAAGCTACATGTGTATCTCGTTGAGTTACCCTCTTGCATTTCTTTTTTTTTCATTCATGAGATTGAATTCCACTTGTTATAAAATGTTCTGTGTTTTCTTACAAGCACCCTCCTACGTAAATACGAAACAGCATGTGGTATTCATTAGTAGTTGTTCCTAGATATGTGCATGGAAGTAGAATTGGATGCGATGACATTAAATTGAAGAATTCAGGGTTGGAGAAAAATCACCTACTTCCAAGACTTAAGTCAAGAAAGAACTGTAGAGTAGGTGTGAAAAAAGTCTTAAATTATGAATGTTCCTTCTCCTCGGGGAAACTGCGTAAGAACATACATGTACACGTGACACTATATGAACGTTCCTGTAAAAAGTACTTCCAGTTTTGAGAAGTACGGAATATTATTCAGATTTTTATATGTGCTTAGTAGCTCTAATATTTCAAAAATGAAACGTTAAGTGCAAAGACTGGTAAATATCAGAATATGATATACACATAGATAACAATCAAAGTGTACAGTCTGGGGATGTTGCGGCTTACACAAAAAAATATGAATGGAGCCTGAACAATAAGTCTTGCTAATCCGATCTTTGATGTTCATCTGCATTCCAGACCTATCTGTCTACAAGAACTGACCAAACATTTCATCAAGTCTACAAGTCGTGATTTTTGTTGATTAAAACAGCAGAAATTGTTTACATCTTGGCATTTCCTTCGTTTCCAGGACAACCACGTGTAACGTTCACCTATATTTAGTACAGCGCTATGGTAATGAGGAGTTAACCTTGGTGTGTGTAGTTTATCAGATAAAACAGCACATATGTTTTGGATCTTTTGTTTGCAAATTATATGAGTAAACACACAGCGATATCAGAACAATACAGAAACTGAAGATTGTATATATGAGCTGGATTGCAAACATAAACAATAGCTGCCATCAGGTTGTACACGAAACTTCTCTTAAACTATCTATACATTTTTCCTCACCCCCCCCCCTTCCCAGATTCTATTTACATATTTCTGTATTTGGTAACATGTATTCCACATTTTTTCATTAATAAAGATGACGACAACTGATAAATAAATTGATATATATGTATAATATTAATTTTAAAAATCTGGTAATTAAATACTTTTTTGAAACGGGACGATGCTATAATTAGTTCGCTTATCTATGCATAAATAGTGAACATGTACTAAGTTGTTTACGGGTTTCCTTGTATCTTGAAGGGATCGTATAGTTTATATATATCATGAAATGATAGTTTTTTGACTTCAAGAAAAATCAACGAAACCTAAATGTTATCAGAATGTTTGTTTACAACAGTAATTCAGCAGAATGTATCAGCATCAAAGTACACGATACCACCTAAAAATGTCATATGTATGGCACGCCAAATTCACAAAAATGAGATAATCATAGTTTCACAATCGATAAACTAGGTTTATCGGTTGCAAACTATAGTTTACGAATTGTAAACTATAATTAACAACGTTAATCTATATTTCACATCTGTAAACCATAGTTAACGCGATAATCTATGTTTCACAACCGTAAACTATACTTAACACCGAAAACAATCATTTGCGATTGCAAAACATAGATTTTCTGATAAACACAGTTTCACGATTTGTAAACTATAGTTTACAAACCGTTAACTATAGTTAACGATCTGATAAATATAGTTTCACGATTTGTGAAACTATGATTAACAACCGTTAACTATAGTTTACGATTATAAACTATAGTTTACGATTGTAAACTATAGTTTACAAACGTGAATCTATGTTTATCAACAAAATCTATTGTTAACGCTTATTACAGACAGATAAACTTAGATTAGCATTCGTAAACTATAGTTAACAACCGTTATATATAGTTTTACAGATGAAAACTATACTTAACGAATCGTTAACTATAGTTTACGATTTGTAAACTATAGTTTACAGTCGATAAACCTAGTTTATCAATTGTGAAACTAGGTTTTACTCATTTTTGTAAATTTGGCGTGCCATACATATGACGACAACTCCTTTTCGTTCTATTCCTGCATGGGTATAATAGGTCCGGATATAGGAGTGACCCACTGGCAGATTTAGAGGGGGCAGGGGGCCCAGGCCCCCCTTTTGTGTCCAAAATATACATAAGATTTAATAAATCAATTTTTTTTGTGTGTGGTGGGCCCTATCCCGACCCCAAACTGGTCCGCCCCCCCACTCTTTTTCAAGATTCCTGGATCCGCCTCTGTAACCTGTGACTTATTCATCATATTAATCACAAAATCGCCATTAAAAGAAACCCAACATCTTTTATTAACCAAATGGAATTTTTTTCATCAAAACATCAATAACTGTTACGATTATACAAATAACACACACACACACGCAAGCTTTGCTTGTAACTACATGTACTGACGCTAAATGTACGAAGTTACGCTACACGATCACATGCAAATGAAAACAGCGTTACATGTATGTGCGATGCATGCATCTTCTATTATCCTACTACAATGTGTATATGGAAGAGGCCCTCTGAACCCGAAACATGCAAATCGTTCCGAGCATCCACATTTGACTTACTTTCAAGTTCATCTAATAAAGACAATAACGAAAGCAAATGGAAGAAACCAATTTTATTAAACAACAGCTTTAATTAATAGGCATTAAGTAAAAGCTTGTTTTTCCAATTTTGCAAAATATCGCGAAAGCTGCTGAACAAGAAAACACACGTAAAACTGATAAAATGTGCCATGCTTTAAAGAAAATCAGTGTGGAAAATTTCTTTTGAAAGAAAACTCATAGAAATTTATGGAAACATTTCGATGAAAAAAAAAAGAAAAGAAAGCACTGATTTAAATGTGTCTAACAATGTCTTAGAAAAAATGTTCTTTCAAGATCGTTGTTCGGAACGATTAGCACTTTCGGATCCTCTCTTGGCTCTACCTTCCTGGCGTGCACTGACTGGATGCAAGACAATGGAATGATTTGCGGAATCCCTCTATCCTTATCCTGAACTCCCCATTCTACTCCATTCTTAAGTTCTCACTCGTCAATGTAAACTGTATAAATTGACTGAAAATTGATAAACACGTATATATACAGATAATAATTCTATTAATAGTTCCTCCATTGAAGGTTAAATTTCTATGATATCTTTAACCCCCCAACCCCTCCCCCTACTAATATGCTTGATGACACTTGCTACTTTGTAGAAAAAAATCAACTACATGTATTTCTTAAAAGTAATATACCAGTAAAAAAAATCTTAATCAGTTTGTCAGGAAAGAAATGTACAGTATATTACTATTAAATGAATTATAAATGTATTTTTCAATGTTAATAAATCAGATAAACCATCTTGTATTTTTTAAAATCATTAAAGACCCCCTCCCCTCCTTTACTTTAAATTTTACTGTGGAAGATGGGTACTTTAGGGATTTTTTTACCATTCGAAGTGATATGAGGTCTTCTTTAATGAAAAGAGATTTTCTCATTTTTATTTTCTGGTGTAATAAAATTCCACATTTAATGAATAGCCCCCTACTTCATTGTAACTTCTACTTAATTCTTAGGCAACAATTGGTTTGAATCGAGTAATCACTATGTGCATTATCTACATGAGTCGATCAAGCAGTGAAACATCTGTTCTACTGTGTGTGTCTAATTAACACAATTATGATAATTACCTTGCGATCACTTGCCTCCTCTGTGGAGGGGGTTCCAGCCTGGGATTTTTCTGCAAGTTGCCTTCGTAAATCTGCCATCTAATAAAATTTTGGAATATTTTTACGTTACATTTTGATTTATTGTTCTCTTAATCAGCTGTTGATAATCAACACAATATTACATGTTAATTTTATATCAACACTGCTATTAAAAAATACACTAGTAGTAGAAAGGGGAACAAATATATGCCTAAAAATACATTTGTGCAATATGTCTATTTACACAACAAACAGAATAAGATAAAAATGTATATTAACTTTTATAAATGACCATTGTTAAAATATTTTTACCGCTTTAATAAGCTTTAGTAGTTATTTATGTATGTGCTGTATGCAATGATGTGTATATTCACGTATGTCATCGCCAAAGAATCATAGAGATTAAATCCCAGTTGTATATTGCGGGGGATAAGTGTGGGGTTATTGTATCATTTGAGCCCCCTCTTTCCTCGTGCAATATGTATTGTGTTACTGGCGAATACTTTATTTACACTTCTATACAAGTAATAGGATACTATTTTCATAATGGGTATTGATCTTAATGACTGAATGCGTAAAAAAGGCTTTCTCTTCTAATCTAGCGGGGAAGAATTTGTAAATGTTTGATCCCACGAGACGGGGTAAAATCAGACATGATTTATAATGTTTTCAGTAGTGGATTTAGTATACACAGTTCTGTGTTATTAGATCCACTAATACGTTTAGGTTTGTTATTTTTCGAGAGAGAGAGAGAGAGGTCGAGATCTGCAGTATGTTTGCGTTAGTTCAGCATTAGGCGTTACTTTTCTTAATAAAACGCGCACTTTTACTGGGCATGTAGTCAAAAAGGTCTTTGGTTTGATCATCAAAACGTCAATGGCTTGCTGTGTTTTGGCAAGGTCGTAAGAACAAGTCAGAAATATAATTTTATTCATCTAAACTTAATAAACTCTATCGTTATTCAGTTACGTAGAATAGCCCTGGATATCGCAAAAAGTAAATTTATTAACAGTAACACCTATTTTAAAAGATTATGCTTTGCTCTTTTAAACAATTCATACTTTGTGAAATTATTTATATACCTGGTCACGCAGTTTGTCGATCTCCATTTCTAAACGGAATTGTTTCTTGTCGGACTGTTCCAGAAGTCGTGTGAGATGGTTATTATCTTCCTCCACTTTTGATCTTTTATCATCTAAAATGTCAAGCTCGTCATGGAGTCTAACAGACACTTCCTTTGCCATTCGTAACTCATCTTCGATACTCCTAATGTGTGCACGTGCATCTGCATCTTCAAATTGATTTTGCAACAAATGAAGTTTTTCTTCATATGACTGACGATCTAATTCAATCTGTTCACTTCGTCTTTCAGCTTTACGTAGTTTAAACTGTAAAACACGACAATTTTTGGCTGTCATTTCAAGTTCTCGTTGGAGATCTCGGAATTCCTCGGCCTCTTGGTCTCGGAAACTGTCATACATCTCATCCATCTCTATCTTAAGATCCTGTATTTCATTTTTAAGTTCTTCGTTTTCGGTCTTAAGATTTTCCACGTCATTTTCACTCGCCGATAATTGGACCTCCATATCTTCCATTTCAGCTTTTGTAGCATTTTTCATTGCTTCTTTCTGCTGTATTTGTTGCGCTTTTAATTTCTCCATTAGAGTCGTATTGTCTCCTTCAAATTTGTTACATTTGTCCTCCATGACTTGCAAAGTTTCACGCAAACCTTTAATAGCATTTTCGACCTCGGATTTTTGCGATTTTAGGCTACTTTCAACACTTTCTTTTTCCTTCAGTCCAGTCCTTAATTGATTGTTCTCCTGTTCTAAAGCCTTACATTTTATTTCCATAACACTTAACTGCTTTTTCACTGTTTCAAGCTCAGCGTCAACTCTCTGTCCAGCTTCCGCAGAAGTTTCATTGTCACGTGTTTTCTCCTCGGAGTGTCTCCTCCTATCCAAAGATCCAAAGGGTTTATCATTTTTGTCCACCTGCTTTTGTCCAGAATGAGTGAACTTATTGATCTTCTCGTACAAAGCAGACGGCTTGCTCTCTTTACCTTCTGTCGAGTTCGTTCCCTTCTGTACGGCTTCGGGAGTTGACTGATTTTTTATACCCGATTTGCATTGATCATTAGCAGGCAATGTAGTAGATGATTTCTCCTTCTTCTGGCGCTCCAAGCTATTAAATCGGCTTTCTTCCAAGTCAGACCCGAATGTTCTGGCGAATTGTCGAACTTTGCTCGACTCATCTGTCTTTGATTTGGGCGTGTTGTCTTTCTTCGTTAACAATGACGCGCTTGGTGTCTTTGGATCCTGTTCTTTCTTATCTTTCGAACCGATAGTTTTGCTTTGAAATTTACTTGCTTTTTCATCTATTTTATTTTTATTATCATCAACCTTTGATACTTGTTGTTTACCAATTTGTTTGTTTTCCTCTCCAGATGGCTCTTTATCTTTCGATACTGATCTATTCTCATTTTGCTTCCATTTTGATAATGCGCTCGGCGCAGAGGTTACCTGTTTCTCATTATCCTTAGAACTTTCAGTTCTTTTGGTCTCTAACTTGCTTTGGGAAATATTTTTCTGAGATGTTGGAGACGAAATCTTTCCTTTCGATTTTAAATCTTCTGTCAACTTCGTAGGTGATAGAGGGGATTTAGATTTGAAATCTTTCACCTCTGGTGATTTAATAAATGGAGATCCAGATTTCTTTAGGGGACTGCTTGGACTTTTATTAAGATTACCATTAGTATCTTTCTTGGAAATGTCAACAGATAAATTAGGATTTTTGGATTTTGCTAATGTTTTCGGAGGCTCACCTTTTTTTTTCGACGTGTCAGTCTCGGATTTCTTTTTCTGCATATCATTAACCTTGTCATTCTCCAGTTTCTTGTCCTTCATCGTTTTGTTGTCCATATTTTCTTCAGTATTGGCCCCATGCTCATCTAGAGAATGAAAACAGTTTCTACACATGTTCTTCCGCCATGCTTGTGGTTCAAAATTGGAGCAGACTGGACAAATCACTTCTTCTTTTGACTCTAATGTTTCCTTTTTATCCTCAATATTTGTCATTTTTATAGGCGACGATAAAGTTATGTAGAAACTATGTGAACGATTTCTGTTTACTTCCAAGCAGAGATTTCTATGTAATTTATACTTCCCAAGATGGCGGATTTCACACTCGTGTAGGATTTAGATCATTTCGCAGTATTCTTTTTTTCGTATCTTCCTAGCTTTAACATGTGTTATCTTCATCTGTATGTGTATTTGCGTTGTACGTCATTGGATTTGCGATGACTGATTATCCAAATTCGGCTCTTCGGTGACGTAAAGCACAGTTAATGTAAAGTGATCATGTGCCAGAATTTTCAGCGTGTGTAACACCGACGGGGGTTTGCAATCATTCCTGAATAGTGATTCCTGCTATACGTCAAGACAATACAATTTACCAGACACACTTGTAAGCCAACGTACAATATTATACAGTGATCAATGAAACCTACACCATACACTCCTAATGATGATACAATTATCTTAATTACCCACGTACATAGATACATTATGTACCTCTATAATCTGTAACCTATCAGAGTCATTTTATATGGGACATACAAAATGAGAGACAATAATTAACAAATAGATGTTAATATTCTCCTGACAGAGAGAGAAGAAAAGAGAGAGATCAACTCATTAATATTATGCAACAATCACATATCTTACATTGCGAATTTCCCTTGAATAACAGATCTTAATATCAAAATCTAAAATTTATTATAAATTATCTTATAACATAATAAAGTAACCATAGAAAAGGAAAAGAATTTCTTAAGAATTCAATCGAGAATATTGATACTCTTGTAATCCGACATCTGGTTATAATCAGCGCTTTCGCACAATGTACGCACGTGCCTATTTTTTGTTGAAGCACGTGCGGCAACTTGACTTTTAATGCACTTTTTTGAACAACTGTAAGAATATGCTATGAAAAAAAAAGACGAAACGGCTGCAGAATCGAGTAGCGAAGTTTTATGATCTTTAAATTGACATTAAAAAGAAGCCCATTTGTCCCGTAATGCAGTGTCATTCCAGATTCGTTAATTATCTTTAACCACTGGTTACCCACGTTATGTAAGAAATTACATTTGTAAGTCGTCCTGGTAAACAAATACCGATGTATATATCACATTTGATCATCTCTGTACGTATTTTTGCATTGCAATAGTGTTCTAGAAGGAACTAACATAAATTCTAGTGTGATCAGTGAACCTAAATATTAATCATAACAGATTAGGATGCCATTTAGACCTCATCAACGACTATATGTGAATAACAATTGTGTGTTGTTGCAGATACTATCACCCTGGAATATATATATATATATATATATATATATATATATATATATATATATATATATATATATATATATATATATATATATATATATATATATATATATATAAACCTGATTGGATACAAGATTTCTTTTAATACGTACACTGATAAGATTGATTGTAACAAATAAATTACATGTACGAAAAAATAAAGTGATACATGAATGTAAATAAGAAAAATCAAAAGACAAATAAATATGATGCATTTAAAATCTTCCAGCTAAGTCTCGAATGCAGTTTCGCATATTACGGGAAAAACTGCTTTATTTCACTTGAAAAGTCTTTACAGAGATCCTGGAATCTATATAAATACGAGGGGTTATCAAAAAGTTCGTGGACTAGCGCCATCAAATTAAAACCGCTTTATCAATGAATTTTAAGACATTTAGTTAGCATCATCTTTTCTATCTATAGAATAAACCATAAATCATAAGTTTTATTTTTTAATAAATTGTTAATGTTCTTGTAAGCAATGGTATGTCCAGGCGGCGCAACCTCAAACATGACGTTTTTTCTACCCGAGTGTGACAGAAAAACTCTTTGATATGAGTATTTGTCATCAAAAAATCCCGTTATTTCAGGCATGTGGTACGATCGACACAATTGTTCCGTAAAATTTGCAACTAAACGGCGACAGTGCCGGGTGATCATATAACGTCTTTTTTATTTTAGAATAATTTGGAAAATTATCAACGTACATGTATCAAGCTAAAATTTTCAACATTTCTTAAGGATATCTGATCCTTAGCCAGGAAGGATAACTCTAAAATTTATTTTTTTATTTAAAAAGTCTCAAAATGAAGCTTGGAATTGAGATCTTTTCGTGCAACAATTTTCATTTTATGCATCTTAATATGATTCAAGGTTCTTTGAAGTCTTAGAAACGGTCTTTTAAAAAGTTGACATTTGTACCCCATAAAAGAAAAAATGAATTCATTTTTAGAGAAATCGAATTTTCTTTAGTCTAGCATTATATATACCACTGCTTATTAGCATGATATGAAATGAGATGTGATATGTGATGTCTAGCAATAATATCACAAGCTTTTTCACTATGTATTATTTGACAATTGAAGTAAAAAGAGGAACTTGAATACTGTATAAGCATAAAAAAGATGCCATTTTCTCCAAATGCCTGGATACCTATATTTTTTCTATCCTAAATTTTTTTTATTGATCAATTTTCAATTAGCATAGCTGGTGTATTTATTCGCATTTCCTGAAAATATATTTGAGATTTGATAATTTTCCCTATATAATATGATTAACTATAATGATGAACTTTGAAGAAATTCCATGGGTAAATTCATGTTACTATGTGAAATCACAGACTTTTTTGTGAGCATTTTCAATTACTTAAAAGCTGATTTTCAGAACCTGAGGATCGGACTTCCTTAAACTTTTGTTGTTTTATGTTTCTTATAAATTTTGTAAGCACAGACTACATAGTATTAACTTTTTCGCATCAGTTCATGAACTTTTTAATAACCCCTCGTACATACAACTCTACAGGTCCGTATCAACGGTTTCATAAGAGGGGGGGGGGGGGGGCACAACCCCCCCCCCCCAAAAAAAAAAATTGACAAGCAGGGAAAAAAAAGAAAGAAAAAATATTTCCAAAAAATGGGGGCCAACTTCCCAAAATAATACATGTATGACCAAAAAGAAAAAAAAGAACTTTTCAGATCTTGAAGAATTTGGATGTGCTGGACCTTACAACAAGAAAAAGTTGGGGGGGGGGACCTGCATCTAAACGAAAATTTACTATAGCAGAATACAGTACTCAGAGAAAAGGCCCCCTCCCCTCCCACTTTTTACGGGCCTGACTTTATGATTTATATAGTCAAAGAACTCATTTTTTTCTCTCAGAAAAGATCATTTCAGTGAGCACATAGAAATATACCAAAATATATCAACCCTACAGAATTTTACATGAACGCACCAATTGAATTACAAGTGAAATGATACAGTAGGTCTGGATTCTGGAAAGATCATCAAATTTCACTGTTAACTCTGTCATCAACGACTATCTAACTGCAGGCCTGTAGAAGTAGTAAGAAGGGAGCCCACTCTCCCCTTTTCCCAACTTCCACTATACTGCAACAAAAAGTATGCAGTATGTTGCAGTATGGTGGAAGCGTGCCCCACTTAACTGCATTTATTGCATTGAAAAATGCTGAAAAATTAAAGGAATGTATTGTACAACACACACCCCTTCCTTCCCCAATAGGAAAATAGGATTTTCGATTTTGAGAAGATTGATTTACTTTCTTTAAAAAAAGCTTGCTCTATCAATGACATACGATATGATACACATACTTTAACACAAGCATGAGATCGTTTAAAGTGCGTAAAGTTTTTGTTTGTAAAACAATCCCCTTCAATGATCAATATTTTTACAAACAAACTAGTCATCCGGTAAAAACAAATGCATACTTTTATTAAAAGTTAACGACTATCATAAGAATGGTCTGAAATTTCGCTTCACGGTAATGGAAAATGTTTTTATTTGAATACATATATATTATTTACTTGTAACTATTCTAATAATATGTATAAAATTTTAAGTGTTAAAATATTCGTGTTATAGAATGTCTTAAATTTTCGTTATTAACATAATTTCATTAATTTTCATTTTTCCCTTGCTTAATTTTAGGGGCAAACCTATCAGACCACTCATGGCCACCTCTTTAAAGATGGAGAAAATGAAAGAATTTCTTAAGTGTTCGTTATGTCAGAATACTTTTGATGAAAACAGACACAACCCTCGATTGCTGAGCTGTCTACACTCATTTTGTTTATATTGCCTAGAGAAGAGAATATCAAATGATTCTATAAGTTGTCCAATTTGTAATGAATGTAATGACCTTCAAGGAAATACAATTACCTACTTGCAAGTAGACAAACGAATAGAAATATACAAAAAATATGTTGAGGTCTTCTCTGAACGGGACCAAATTTTATGTGGAAATTGTAAATGCAACACCGAATCTGTGGTAATATTTTGTAAGCAATGTTCCTTCTTTCTTTGTGCGGAATGCAATAAAGCTCATAAAGTTTGGACCGATTTCCAGAATCACACAGTAGTTGCCATTGAAAACCTCAGAGATGAAGGGTCGGATCTCTATAACTTCGCTGGATTTTCAAAATGTAAAGTTCAAAATCATCTGCACCAAGGACAGAAATTTTATTGCACAAATGAAAACTGCTTAAAGCCCATATGTGCCGAGTGCTGTCTCGTTGAACACCAGACTCATGCTTTTATAGGCCTGCAGGAGCATATCAATATGGTTGAAAGCAAACTGACAGAGCAATTAGAAATATTACAGAAGAAAGTCAAACTGTATCAAGAAAAAAGTGTTATGTGTCAAAAGGAGGAAGACAGGCTATCTGAAATGGAATCGAGGCTATACAAGGAGGTAGATAATGCCTTTAACATATCCATTAAGCTAATGCAAGGCAGGCGTGAGTTTATCAAGGCCAACTTGAGAGAAACAGTTGAATCAAAGAAAACTGATCTTCAGAAAGGTATTGATGAGTGTGATAAATTTCAAAATTCGTGTATGCACTTAAAGCAATTCTTGAATACGTTCAAAATGACTGGAGATACTAGTTGTCTAACTGAAATCTTTCCAATGGTCATCACAAGATTGAGTACCTTGAATGAGAAAGAATTAACATGTAAACCTGCGGACTTTTCCCTCTTTGAGTTTGATGCTGACCAGTTTACTACTTCAGTAAAGGCATTTGTTAAAACCTTAGGGAAGATAAAAGAATTATCCATTTCGTCGGAGCATTCATTCATTGAACTCCCGAAAGAAGCAGCTGTGAACAAAACCATCGAATTTTTTATCCAACTCAAAGACAGCATTGGTATGACTCTCTCAAGTCAAATTGATGACGTTTCATTGAACATAAGTTCGAATGACGAAAAGGATGTAACATTTACAGCGGTATGGTCGGATGGAAAGTATACTACGAAATGGAAACCTGATATTCCAGGGAAATACACTTGTAGAGTTTTGGTACAAAATCATGATGTAAAAGTTGCCGCTGAAGTTATCATCCGCGAGAACATAGAACGAGTTTCACAGTTAAAACCTCAAAAGGAAACAGTGGATGTTGAAGATACAAAATTGAAAACGATCCAGATTAAAAAAGCAGGTAAGAATTTTTACTTGAAATATAACTAAAGAAACTACGGAGGAAAAACAACAACGATAACACATGTAAAATGGTAGGTAAACTATATTTGTATGCTATTTTTGTATTTGTATGTCACAAATCTCTTTTTAGTGTAAGTTACAATAACTACATGTAAGGTATTAGTTTCTGAGATCTGAAATAGGAGCAATGCAAAATACTCTTAAAGTAGGTAACTTGATATGAATTATCTCCCTTTCAGAACCGACTTCAAAAGAACAAAATGAGAAGAGTGTTGGTACATGCAGGTCAAAGGTTGCGTTGGCAGAAGAATCTTCTGGACAAAAAACAAATGAACAAACAAACCAAGTAAATGTAACAGAGGAGTTGACAGATTTCAGAAAACTCGAAAGGGAGACTCACATTACGGATACACGATTGAATATTGCCAACGAAAATCAGCTAGGGAAACATATGCAGCTAAAACCTTTACCCAGCATTCAAAGTAAATAATGCATGTTTTATTATATAATTCTGTACAATATCTTTTTCTGTGTAATAGATACGGTAATTTGATAACTCTTTTAAACTTCTTTTTTAACCCGGCCATGTCTATTAATTATGCCAAACTGTATATCTGTATAAATGAAAAATCGAAAGATTCACATCCGACAGATATACATGTATAATGGACACCGTCATCAGAATTTTCCTACAGATTTCAAATGAATGCAGCGCTATCATTTTATGATTTGGGCATTTACAGGACAAGACAAAGTCAATGCTTGGGAAGCCATTAGTCCAAAGAAACATCTTCCTCCATTGGAATGGCTGAATCTTTCATCGGGACCCACAAGAGTAAGCAACATCACATTCAGATTTAACAGACCTTCTAGCGCCATTGGTCTACGTCCGCCACAAAGAGTGGCAGAAGACGGTCTTAAACTTCCCCTTAGACGTTCTAAAACTGATGTATTTCTCGATTCCATTGAACAACAACACTCCATTGAGCTGCCAGTCGTAAGAGGCGGAGTTGTTAACTTTCGTAAGTTTCGCTTTTTTAAGGCAGCAAAGTTATTGATAAATAATGTCCAGTCTGACACATGTTCTTTATTGAATGGACAGTCCTTTGTTAAAAATATAAATCTTGTCTTGCGTAACTTTTCAATTATCTTCAAATGAGAAGCGTCTGTGCATAAAGTACATCAATTCTACCTCGTTCTAGACATTGGGCATAACGAGTGTTTTATTTCAATTCAATTGCATGTATATGAAATGGTTAAAGTCTCGGGACAATGGGGTCTCTGCCATATAATATCTCTAAAACCCTTCATTAGCATGAAATCAACTGACGTTTAATTTGCTGTATATATTATCTATAGTCACGAATGTGCCTTAAAATGCCTTTGGACCTATATCCGGATGGTTTTTCATGATGTTAATACAAGATTTTATCTCAGAGGTCAATACTGCAGTATATTGATATGACTATCTTGCTACTCTGTTGAAATTATTATTTCTATACTCATTGACAAAATATACACTGTTCCTTGTGATTGTCACGCTTTATTTTAGATATACATGTATCTTTTCACAGGTCCTCCGATTTACTTTGATTGCCATTAACAATCTTCGGGAGATTGATATGTCCGAAAGTACGTTCTTTCGAAGCAGTGGCTGGTCTCTCCAAATATGTCGCTGCATAGACTGTTATAAAGTTTGCCTTTTTGCTCATTGTAATTCGACATTCGTTCACGAAACAGTCTCCAGTGATAGAGCAGGCACTTCACAGATATGTACGTATGGTCTCTGCATCAATGCACTGAAAAGAACCATGCAACTTGTTGACGTCATTCGAAATAGACTTCTGGGAACATTCAGTGACGTCAACATAAGTGAGGAAGACATAGTTGCATTTGGTGTTTACAATCCAAGCCGTCTAGATGTGACCGTTACCTTGGAATCTGGGAGTGATATAAGAAAAATGCCATTTGGAATTCTAGATACTGGTAGAAATCCGAATATGTTATAGAAAAGACTAAATTCCTAGTAGTACAAGTGTATATGTGGCATATTTCATACATTAAAATATCATTTCATAGAGAGTATAATCGCATATACACGTAGATGTGTGGCATATTTATTCGCAAGGTGAATGATATGAAATTAATATAAATTATTGAAATTTTAATACAATTATACAGATACGTGTATGATCTCCGTTTCTAGGTACATGTAAATGCAATTTTCAAGAAAAGGTAAATAAATGTTGGTTTTAATATATACAATGGGAGACAAAACAATTATTGAAGTCCATATATAGTCCTTTTTTAAGCCAAAGAATCGTTTTGACCAATGTGTTTAGGGATTCGAGATTTGATATACATGCACACATATATTGACCGTAGTTATAAAGAATTTACAAATTTTCTCACCACCCCTCTGTCTCCTTAATTGTTGTTCTGAAAGTGTCAAATGACTTATCAGTAACAAAGCGCAAAATAATACATAATAAAACATACGATTTTATATATCAAGCCAGCTTGGTATGTTTACCTAACCCTCAGAGCAGAGTTGACAAGAATTTATGTTTTGGTTAGAGGTTCAGAAGAAGTACATTCATTCAGACTTCGAAAGGTTGAGAAATAAAGTCATGTTTGACTGACTCCCAAATAAGAAGCTCAACTCTGCTGCGAAGGTGACTTGCTAGCTTAAAAGATTTTTAATTATACAGTAAAAGAAAAGAAAAAGATAACACTTGAATTACAGAACAGAAATATTAATGAGCAATAAATTGTGTATTTACATCTCAAGAAATATTAAGTTATGAAACAAATCAAGCAAACGGCAAGAAAACAATATAACCATAAATAATTATGTATAGAATAGTCTAATATTTGTTGTCTGTGACAATATTTATATCCAATTTTTATGGGAGAAGATTTCCATAAAAAATTTCATCTACTCACAAGTAAACAACAAACATTTGACTGTTCATCAGAATTCCTGAGTTATGCGATATGAATATTTTTGCACAATAGTATTTTGATGTAATTCTAGAGTTTTATGTCCAATCAAGTTGTTTGTTGACAGAAACTTAAAATTTCTATTTCGAAGTTTCTAATATATAATATAAGATTGTTATTCATTTCTTTCCGTAAATATTGTTTTCATCAAATTACAGACAAGATAAATCATATATATACGCTGTGTTAATTTTATGTTCTTAATAGCAATGCTTTTAATTTTTGCTGTCTGACTGCAGAGGGAATTTTGTCGCTGCGATTTCAAACATTCTACTGAAAGTGTGAGGATCTTGGGCACCTGAAAACATCTTATGGCCGTTCATGTAAAAAGTTGGCACACCTGTTCAAAAATAAATTCATAGAAAACATGATTATTTTCAATATGCAGAACTTTAATATTTATTTTAACAAATTTTTCAGTTTTAGTATTTTTCAATGTAAAAAAAAATATTCTTTGGTTTTTTTCTCTTTGTGGTTTTTTCAAATACATGTATATATCTTGAAATTTTACTGACATTGTTTTTCTTTTAAAAAAAACCAACAATAATAATTTAAAATAAGATAGAAATTTACAGGTACTAAATATCATGCGCGTCACTTGTAATTCATGTTTTTTTTTTTTGTTTTTTTTTTTGAAGGATGAACAAATTTTAGTTTCTTTTATGTATGTACAATTCTACTTAACTTTAGATGAGTGCATTTTACAGAATAGTATATTGGTAGAACTAGTGGCATAAAACTTTAATTACAGTAATGACATGATAAATATGGTAAACACTTATTTTTATATAAATCATAGTAACCTGATATTCCTTTGGATGACCAATTAGCGGCTTTGCTGACTACTTTCTCCAGATTATCCGGATTAGTTATGTAGCTTAAAAACCCGTCTTTACTTAATCCAGCATCCTTCACTACTTCGAGCAAAGTCTCATCTGATAGTTTTTCTCCGTCCGTGAAATATTTCTAAAAAATACAAAGTTGTACACTTGAAACTCAAATTCCAGCAAATGCGCATAGCATAATTTCTTGGTACTTATTATTTTTATTTTATATTACTTTTTAATATTATCATATGTAAATGCCAATGTATGTATGTATCAATTTTTCTGGTTAACTGATCATATATCATGTGTATTTTGTTTCCAGGTTATCAGGATTAGCGACATAGCATATAATTGTAAATCATCAGTCAATATTAAAAAGCCACAGGAGAGGTCCCTTCTAAGTGAATATTTACACCTTAGTTACTGTAAGTTTTTTTTTTTTTTTTTACACCATGTATCAAAATAAGGATTTTGCAAATTGTACCTTGAATAGTTTTTCTGCCACGTCATTTTGTTTCTGACCATTATCAATTTCTTTTGAATATTCCATTAATGCATGTGCCTTCAGTGTGTTTGGAAATACAGGACATTTGTTGGTAAACTGTAAGTCTATTTCAGCTCCACTTTGAATCAGTGCTGCCACTCTGAAAATCATTTTTAAAACAAATTCTGAATGAAACTTGTGGCTACATCCAGGGTAAATAGCTAGTTTTACATGAAAGAAGAAAGAGAAAGATGCAGATTTAAAAATGTTAAGCATGTTAAAAGCATTTTTGGAAAGTATTTTGCTAAAACCAGGGACCTACATGTATATACTAGTATACAGCTGGTATATAGGTCCCTGCTAACACAAACCATTTCATTACTATCATGATGTTAATTTCAGTCACCTTGGGTTATTTGGATCGGTGTATGCTGCTGGTTTGGGAATTCCCTCTGGTGGGGTGTTGGGCTTGAGGAAGAACGGCTCCCATCGCACATGGAAATCAAACTTATCTTTCAAGGAGTCCATGGCGAGTTCCATTTTCCTCTTCCCAACCCAGCACCAGGGTCAGATGACATCGCTGACCACATCTACATTTATTCTTGGTTTTGAAGCCATATTATGAAACCCACGACACAAAGAAGGAAGACGATTAAATGCCACTGTGATGAGAACAAGTTCTAGATCTTGCTCTTTCTAGATCCGATGAGCAATAAATCATGGGTACCAGCAAAACACAGTTAATTCATGCTTAAATTCATGGTGGGATTTAAATATTGAGCGCCTGTATTTTTAATACGCTAGAATAAATTAATAAATTTATCAACATTTTTTACTGTTTAAATGTGATTGTGTGAGAGAGAGAGAGAGTCATCAAAATTTAGAAGAATGGGAACCAGAAAATAAATATTTACAACGGAAGTACAGAAAAATAGAGATAAAAGTTCCATCGATAAGTCTTTGCGATTCCGGAATATAATGAACCTCAATGTACTTATATTGCTGTTTATAAATTGAGTAATCTACTTACACATTCTTTTCCATATACGAAAGTGATACAGGAATATAATGTAAGGAATAGATCAAAAGACTCAACGTCAGTACTCAGCGCGGATGGATCCATGATAAAATAAAAGGGGAGGGAGTTGTAAAAAGTTTTCTGACACTCAAAATAAAACTTATATAATAAGGTCCAAACACAAACACACACACCCGGCCTCACACACACAATTTTGCAGAGATTACATTTATTCTAGCTACCTTTGGTGTTTTGTGTGTGTGTGTGTTTTTTTTTGGGGGGGGGGGGGGGGTGCCTCCACCTCCAAAAAAACCCGCTTCTTTGCCCGAAGTTTATATACAAGTACATTCACAGGAGTAACGTTTCAGCTTTCAAGGAGACATTTCACATTAAGCGAGATCTTTCGAAGAAACAATACTAATACAAACTGGATTTTTGTTATACTTAACAATGCACACTATTTCGTTCAATTTGAAAATTACATACTTAGTGTTTTTTTTACTCAAATAGCCCCTTATAGTCATGTTTCTTCGTACATGTATTAAATAATATGTTCTCAGATAAACCCATCTCTACACGCAATGCAAATGACGTACAAAGGAAAATCGGCAAACAAATAAGAAAACAAATATAAACAAATAAAAAACTGCATTAGGTTATTTATTTAAACAACAAATACATGTAACGACATTGATAGCGATCTTTTTTTTTTTCAAGTGATGCAGAATATATCTGTAATTCTCTTGATCCAATGATTAATATAAGCATAACCCGTTGCTTCCTTGAGAATCGATGATCTATTTACCTTCTCTATTTTCATTGAAAATGACAATCACTTCATATACAGATGAATATAGAAATAAAATTAATATTCAAATTATCATATGTGACAAATTATACACTAATCTGGTTTTCATTTCGCTATATTGAAAAAAAGATCTTTTTTACACAGGTGACTTTATTCGCGTTTCCCTGTTGGAAATAGAATGAGGAATAATTTCTTAGCAAGCAATTAAAAAAAAAAAAAGACAACAAAAAAAAGAAAGAAAGAAAAAAAAGGTTTACCTTGTTACCATAAAAATGCAATAAACTTTCAACTTCTACGCTAAAAATTACACACACAACACATACATGTATTTAGCAAAGGTAAATACGTAAAGTGTAATAAAATACCTGCTTGTTTTCGTATTATATCAGTGGGTGTTGCTTTTTCTAAATCCTATGTACATACATATACTAATAAATTGTTAAAACCATTTTTAAAGCTATCAAGAAGACTTTTCAAAATTGAATGCCCTTCTGAACATGCACCTAGGTAAGACACATGTATATAAATATATGCCATTCCCACAATCACTGATTCACTAGTTAAGTACTCTTCAAAATTAGTAAATGAGGTATCTACAAACAATTTTGATTGTGCACTATATATATATATATATATATATATATATATATATATATATATATATATATATATATATATATATATATATATATATATATATATATATATAAATCAAATTTTAGATTATCCCATTAAATTTAATTAACTATACACATAAACATAAATATACATGTATACATATTTCTCTGAATATAAATACACAAAAAGAATACTGTTTTCCTATAAATATTTCAAAAATATAAACATACTTTTATCTGCAATCTAACAACACATAAAAAATGTTTTCTTTAAAACTATAACATTCTTCGTAAAGATTTCAAAAAGAAACGTTATCATTAGCAACTTCTCACATGACTATTTTTAAACAACCTTTAAAAATACATGTAATGACATATCCAACGTCTTAAATTTCATATTTCCCCCCTTAACTTTGGTAGAGCTGTCGTAAAATATCAGACCTGCAAAAAAATAAAGCATCTATCGCAATAATCACGTACTACTAGCTTATTATGGCAAATTCTTATTTATTTTTTTTCGAAAATGCAAGGGAAGTAATACTTTAAGTTTACATATTTGTATTTGCAGATACTGCTGAAAAAAAGCCGTTGACTTCAATATGAAGGACATTTTTAATTCCTTTTGGTCTATGATCACATTTCGCAATTAAAGGCACGTCGTGATCTGAAATAAATCTAATCTAATGAGATTGATTTCCTTCCTTTTAATCCTTGGCATCCCTCATTACTCCTGAGATCCATTTTCTGCAATGCTTCGTTGTAAAACATCCTCCCCCTTAACGAAAACTTTTTGAATATTTCTGCTATCACCTAAAAAATAAAAAACGAAAATATAAGTAAATAGGAAGGGGGTCAATTACATACCAAAGTAATAATAAATAAATATTTATTATAAATAACTAAAATTGCTTCGCAAAATTATTCAATTAAAATACAATTTACAATATATACTAATACATAATAACGTTGCTAAATTAATTTATTAAATTAAAAAAAATATTGACATTTCATCAGTTTTAAGGTTTATACAAAAATATATACATGTACACATGTGCGTTAGTAGATGAAGTTATCAATATTTCCAAATCAATATTTTTTTTCCTATTGCATTTAATCAAACTGGTTTTTAAATTTTATCAGGTCCGTAGCAACGGTTTCAAAAGTGGGGGGGGGGGGACTTCCCCAAAAAAATCCAACAAGCCAAAAAAAGGTAATTTACTGTCCAAATCCTGGATTTTGCCTGTGCTCGACCTTACAATATCAAAAAATGGGGCAACCAGCATCTAAAGGAAAATTTACTATGGCAAAAACTATACTCAGAATAAAAGTGCCCCCTTCCTTTCACTGAATTTCATAGGAAAAGGGGAGGGGGGAGGCATTGAATGATCAGCTAGGTGAGGTGTTATCAGTAATTACTTGTTTCAACAAACAGGTGTGATATCATTTATATACATGTAGAATCATTCTGTTTGGACGAAATGTTACTAAAGCATTCAATGCACCCAATGACATTTAATTTCAAATGCATATAAATGTATTTTTTTTAATTACAAACAATTAAAATTAAAATAATACAATTGATTATTAAGACTTTTGCAGGTTGAATTTCATTCTAAAAGATAAAATGAATGCTTATGTTGATAAAGTCTCTATTCACTATTTTAGAAAGAAAAAATATTACCTAGGTAAATGAATTTCTGCACCAGGTCTTCTAAAGAATCCTCCTCAAATATGTCAATCTGTGAGCCAGGGCAATCAAGTTTAATCAAGAGAGCATCAAATTCTTTCCCGACTTCAAAGTTTCCACACAGGTGATCAATTGCTAGAGCTAAAAATATAAATTAGCAATAATCTATAATAATAGAAGCAAACTGCTCCTTAAAAGAAATTCATACTCTCATTTCATTCATCTGCGTGTACTCACTAAAATCGTCTAATTTTAATGTGTGCCTCTTTGTCATTAAAAGGCCATCTACATTTATTTAACATATATATGTACGTTACATTTACTTTCTAAATCAAAGTGGTATTCTTCATTTATTCACTTAATTTGTATTTTATATTCAGTTACTTATCCTGTTTTACGGTATTTACTTACATACGTACATGCGTTTTATAGGTGATGATTGTTTTGTTTAGGATTTTTTTTAAATGGAAATAACCCCCCCCCCAAAAAAAAGAAAGAAAAATTAAGCATCATACATGCATTCCCCTCCTCTTTTCATTGTTAATTTCTGTGGAAATTTTCACTCTATGGTCGGCTGTCTCCGCCCCTGTTGTTACTTTATGATTGAACCCTCTATCCCTCATTATATTTAAAAATACTCAACAAGAGTGAGAATAAAATCTGACATCCACTCCCCACGTTGCACTAAGTAAACATTTTTAAAGAACAAGCCATGCTCAATTATCAAATGTTTTGCGGTTATTTATTGATTTTAGGAAGAGAAACGTTCAATGCTCAAGATTTGACCTATTTACCCTAAATACAGAACATCGAACATTAGACTGAAAATAAGCAGAAAGACATTTATTATAAATAATTGTTAAGTTCAGAGACCCTATTTGTATATATCCCGTATTCCATTTATGAACACCAGAAGATCAAGCAAGTTCAATAACTTTTCAGATCTCCTTGCTATACTCATGTCCATGAATGTGAATTCGGGAAACAGTGTCAATTAAGGATTTAACTACATCATGTATTCAAGTCAATGAAATTACACAAAATCTAGTTTATAATCAATGGTAACATGGGGGGGGGGGGGGGAATACCTTGACTTCCACCATACGTTGCCATCATAAAGGCCTCCCTGTGGTTGATGGGTTTATGGGTGGGGTCTTTGATTGCCCACATGTTGGAAGTATGTATCGCTGTCCTCATAGCATCAAGTATTGAGGGACTGTACCCTCCAGATACATCTAAAAAAGAGAAATATTTGCATGTAACGTACATCTACTTGTCACCTCTATTCCCAGAATGTGCACTTTTTAATTAGATGGCATGTGATACAAAATACAGGCATATCCAATGCTACTCTATGCTTGTGCCCTCTCAATAATAACGTCTGATGACCCCTTTTTTCCTATCAAGGAATATTTGCTTGGTAGCTTGGTGTACTTGTACCTCTGACCGGAATTTATATGTTGTAAATATTTTTCATTGTCCTCATGTACCATATATATTAGATGGTTTTGAGTGAATAAATGAACTTGAACTTGAACCCCCCCCCCCTCCAAACTGAAAACGTTCGGTCTTGCCCCCCAAAACTGAAATTGCTTTCTATGGGCCTGTATAAAATCTATGACTTCAACTGTATTTTTCTGTTGGTGCATGATAAGGTATGAGTTGTATTATTTTGTTATAGAACCTTACCTGTACCTAGTCCTACTTTTATACCTTCTGAAAGACACTGGCGTGCATTAAAAATTCCACTTCGTATTCTACAAATAGGACACACAAACACATTTGTACTTATAAACAGAGTATGTAGCTACATAAGAAATTAAGAATAAAATGGCATTTGAATTATTTGTTCACTCACGATAAATTGGAGTTTGGACAGTGGGATATAGATGCACCTTTCTCCTTGATCTTCTTCCTTTCTTTTTCAGATAAGTAAATCCCGTGAGCTAGTACAGTCTGTGCCAATCAAAAGTAATTTAATCATAAGCTTGTTATAATATTACATCTAAGGCAACCTACACAGGAACCATACACACACACACACACACAGAGAGAGAGAGAGAGAGAGAGAGAATTTCTACCTTGCCATGGATGAGTCCAGCTTTATCATAAACATCCAGATAGTCTTCATAGTCTGGGTACATTTTACCTACTGATTCACACTCATCCTTTGTTTCCGAGATATGTGTCTGTTTCAAGAAAAAAAAAATAATTTCATATCACTGTTTTTGTTTTCCTTTCTTCTTTAAGGGACACATTGCGTTACCTACTTGCACATGTAAGTCTTTCTCGATGGCTAGAAGACCTAACGCATCCATTAACTGTTGACTGCAGCTGATTGCAAACCTAGGTGTGATGATTGGCAATACTCGGGCATACTGCAAAATATAAGCTTTAAGTTTTATTCTTGATAGAAACTTAACACTAAATCAGCAAATTTAGGTCTTTCTTTGTTGAATTTCAAGGCTCCCGATTCACTGAGTCGAAATATATATAATTTTTAGTCCACATTCATTTACAATTCTCCCAACAGATTGATTGAACAAATTTATTCAAACAAGCACACCCGCTATCAAATACATGTACATGTATATGTTAAAGAGTAATTAACGTAGGGCTTAAACAAAACGTCGTGCAATATCAATCCCACTATACTTTCTGCATGAAACATAAGGGTATAATTGTATCAAACATTTTCAATGTTACTTATGCTGAATCTGGTACTTAGGACAACGAAGATTTTATAACTGCCAACAGTGTTTACCTTCTTCTGTAGAACGTCATCAACAAATCTGAAATTAAAAAATTGATGTGATATGATCTGTACAAAAGATACATAAGACATCCGGATATTACGGGATATTACGTGAATTGCTAACAATCTCAAATACTTTAATTTCAATTAACAGAGAGAGAGAGAGAGAGAGAGAGAGATTTGGTTAAAAAATGTACATGTAAGTAGATCAAATCATACTTCCGTGTTTCCGAAATAGATTTGTCCACAGATTCTTCAATGTAGTATTCTGGGGAATTAGCGTTCATGTTTACTTTACCAACAAGTGCTCGCTGACCGTTCTCCTCTGAAAAAATTAAGAACTATCGATATCATTTTTACGAAACTTTTTAAAATGATTATTTCGCATGTATGCAAAATTCGTTAATCAGTCGAGTGTTTTTATTCGATTTATATAAAATAAGTATTATTTGACAACTGACAAACTTTACCTATGATGTCGCACAATACCAGACAAGCCTCTGTATGTATGGTTCCGTAATAACAGGCCGTTGTTGTTCCATTCTCCAAAGTTCGCCTCTGTCAAAATATCATTTACATGCATGTACTGTGCTCTTTTAAATTACAAATAATTGTATACATTAAAACAAAATATATACATTTGTGGTATCTCTCTATTATATAAACATGCAGAGAGCAAATATCTTCATACCTGTATGAAGTTTTTCGAAGGTCATAGGTCATTACGTGACCTAATCACACAGCGCAGTAATATCTACATAAAAAGACTTACTCCACTAAGCAATATAGCATGTTTTTCATGCATAAAAATGTACAAAATACGCAAGTAAAATAATAATCATTTTATTTACAATGTAAACGAGTATTTAATACAGTTCTTGATCGATTTTACATAGAGAATGGAAAACTACGTGTTATAAGTTTCATGTCTAGCTGCATAGTCTCAACGTTTACCCTTATTTTTCTCGCAGACCTCTGAATGCTATAAAAATTTTTTTCATTAAACTTTACTCACAATAAATTTGAAAATCTGTTGAAAAATTTCAATGTAATGCAATCACGCCACAAACAGCTGACAAACACTGCACTTTGGAAGTTCGGTAGGCACACCTCCATCATCGAGATCTTTGTGACGTTGTCTTAACAATGTAAGCTGTCGCCAGTGTCTCGGGACCAACATCATAAATTAATAAATATGCCTTACTGAAATCGTAGATTTTATGTTTTTGATCAAATTTTGTACTTGATTTCAAGTTATCTGGTCCGGACAAGTGTCTCCATCCATCCCTTTCCGACCGAAATTCCACCAACTTTTTATTATCCAACATCGGACGTGTTTCTTGTGTTTTTTAACATCGAATATGGGTTCTCATGAATACAAAAATTCCCAGACACCAATATGCTCACTATAATTGATCACAAGTAGCCTTTCACAGAATATTCCCTTCAAAACAGAATCCTTTGCCAGCCCGTATTTATAGCCCGATAGATGTTTAAAAATGATACCTTATTTCTTAAATAATAGGTGTTGTACGGGCAATATAGCTATTTGTAAGTCGTTAGTCGTTGTTAATTCTTTAAATGCTGAATTTAGACGTATAATTTCCTTTGCATCGTCGATCGTCAATATAAATCTTTACGTCGTTGTTGTCAAGAGCTCTACGCCGATCTGGTGATATTTTTAGAAGTCATATTACATTCTACATTTAACACTTTGAAGGGCATTTTAGCATTAAAATTTAAAATTTGAGCACATTTCTGTAAATTTTGAACTATCATAATCTAATGTAATTGCACGCATGCATGTGTATACTTCCAGAATGCTGCAATGATAAAGAATTTTTTTTAAACATCATCTCCTCCATCTCTGACTACTGAGGAATCATTTTAAGGTCCTCGAATATGTTTCATATTTCTTCATAATATATTGAAAATTATTCATAATTATCTTGTGATTTTGAAACTGTTTTTAAAATGTCTTTTAAAAAAGATACACCAAAAATTGTGATATTGACAATTAAAGAGATTTCCAATAGGATTATATAGAAAACACCATCATCTGGTATCTTGCACAAATGCCTGGTAAGGTACCTCAATTTTCTGTGAGGAAACTTGTTTAAGTAGCAATACTTCAATGACAAATTCTTGGGAAAAATTAAATACTATTGAGGAACGTGTCGTCTGACCTTAATTCGTGGGAACCAATTTTCGAGGATTGCTTATAAAATTTACAGGATTGTGGGCATAAATTTAGTGGACCAACCTCTATTACGAAACAAGAAGCCCATGGGCCAAACTTTGATCCTCCATTGTGGCCCCGCCCTACCCCCGGGGGTCATGGTTTGAACAAACTTGAATCTACACTACCTGAGGATGCTTCCATATAAATATAACTCATCATGGCTTTGCTGTTCTTGAGAAGAAGATTTTTAAAGATTTTTCCTCTATATTTCTATGTAAAACTTTGATCCTTCATAGCAGCCCCGCCCTACCCCGGGGGTCATGATTTGAACAAACTTGAATCTACACTACCTGAGGATGCTTCCATATGAATATGACTCATCATGGCTTTGCTGTTCTTGAGAAAAATATTTTTAAAGATTTTTCCTCTATATTTCTATGTAAAACTTTGATCCTCCACTGTGGCCCCGCCCTACCCCCGGGGATCATGATTTGAACAAACTTGAATCTACACTATCTGAGGATGCTTCCATATAAATATGACTCATCATGGCTTTGCTGTTCTTGAGAAGAAGATTTTTAAAGATTTTTCCTCTATATTTCTATGTAAAACTTTGATCCTCTATTGTGGCCCCGCCCTACCCCCGGGGGTCATGATTTAAACAAATTTGAATCTACACTACCTGAGGATGCTTCCATATAAATATGACCCATCATGGCTTTGCTGTTCTTGAGAAGAAGATTTTTAAAGATTTTTCCTATATATTTCTATGTAAAACTTTGATCCTCCATTGTGGCCCCACCCTACCCCCGGGGGTCATGATTTGAACAAACTTGAATCTACACTTCCTGAGGATGCTTCCACATGAGTTTCATTTTTCCTGGCCTTATGGTTCTTGAGAAGAAGATTTTTAAATGATGCCATTATTTTTTCACTAAATCCTAATTATCTCCCCTTGAAAGAGGGCGTGGCCCTTCATTTGAACAAATTTGAATCCCCTTCACCCAAGGATACTTTGTGGCAAGTTTGGTTGAAATTGGCCCAGTGGTTCTTGAGAAGAAGTGGAAAATGTGAAAAGTTTACAGACACACGGACAGACAGACGGACAGACAGACAGACAGACAGACAGACGGACGCCGGACAAAATGTGATCAGAAAAGCTCACTTGAGCTTTCAGCTCAGGTGAGCTAAAAAACTTATCGACACACAAATAAATTACTTTGAGGTTGTAAATTCCGTGGGTAAAGGGTAGGTAACCGAGAAATACCCCCCCCCCCCATCTCCCCTTCCAGGGCAGAATACAATTTGATTAATTAATAGTATATCATTAATGACAGCATAATATGCGTACGGCAGCACATTTCTGATGAAGTGAACGTGACGTTGATAATTACTATGTCTTCTAGGTCAAACGAATGTGAAATGTCGATAGGGTACAAACCATCATTGTTTAGGATGTCCTCTGAGAACAAACCTTTGGGCAGCATTATTGTTTGATAAAACTCTACATGGTGAATAAGGGTAGGATGTTATAAATGAATTATTCTAATCAGTAATAATGCTCACATTATTAAATCTAAATGGACCTGTCCTGTATGATTTCTTTCTCATCGATGACCGGATGTCTTTGTTATCAAGTGAACAAAAATTGCAGTGTTTCGGGACTGATGCGTTATGATAATACATATTCCACTCTCTATATTATTGTACTGTGTATTTTAAAGTTCTCAACTATGTTCAAAAGTTAAATAAATTGAACATCTACATATGATACTATAAAAACCCGCAACAAAATAAAAGAACTGCACTTAAGGACATGCGAAATTTTCGACAAAACAAACTTTCAAAAATTTTACCTTTAATTACAGAAAAAATCAAAATCAACATCCAATCTGCAACTTTACGTTAATTGCAATAAACAAAAGTATTTTTATAGAAGTACGAATCTGCTTTCATAGGCGGGAGTCATCGCGATTTCTTAAATCTTAATAAGATTGAGGACGCCCAATTTTTTTACTGACTTTATACATAGTTAGCAGGTTTGCCTATTGTTTTCCGTAAGAGTATATTTGCATTAATGAAGTTGTGTCAAAGGGATATTAATAAACAAACATAAAAAGAGGAAAAAAACTGCTTTTCCTTACATCAGCTCTCTCTCTGTTGTAACCAAGGATCGTGGCATATTGAATATTAGAATTCACCCTTTGATTTCTTACCTCACGTAACTTTGTGCATACTAAATGCTGTCACATGACCTGTTTATAGGTAGCACTATAATGGCATTGTGTTCGAACACGTTAAATGTCAGGCATTGATTTAAATCTGTATATTTACAGGGACGTGACCATATTGTTAATTTCGTTTCGAAACCTTTATCAGTACTGTACTTGTACTATGCAGAACAGAAAGGGTGATGGGGAAAGAGTGATCACATTGTTTTCATACAATGCTATAGTCTAATTTAAGACCCATATGCATTTTTACAATGTCAGCCTAACCTCTCATGTATACTTTTATCAGCCTTATATTCGATCAAGGGCAGGTAAGTGTAAATTCCCTACATTTGCAGAACTGCCTATCCTTTGTATTGCAGAAATTAATTTCAGTCATAGACCGCATTCTCCGCACCTTTCTATTTTGATATCTCACAAATCTAAATCAGACTCTTTGTTGTATTCTACATAATGAAGGTCACATAAACTATTTTCATATATTTATTATCTTAAAGCTCTTAAAGCTCTTTTCTATGGTCTGTTGAACCTCGGCATCCTAACACACTACGTGTATTACGTGCCTTTAGGATGCAATTTCAGTGGGAAGGGGGGGGGGGGGGAGAGGGAGAACAAACATTTTCACTTTGGGGGACACTAACAAAAAAATTCCCTGACAAGAAAAAAAAAGGTCATCAGTCGTTATTATTGTGGAGGTATGAGCATAAAGTAGCAATACATTCTATAGTATACTATGTATCGGCAAAATTATTGCCCCCGTGCCTGCGGGTTACTACGGCCATATTTTAACTTTTAATAACTTCACTCTTAACGACATATTTGGTTAAGTGCTTGCACATCACAACTATTTTAATCTTCCGGTGTTATTAACTGCACATATTAGTAAATGATGTATTCGCATCTGCTTTTCTTTCAAATTTTCGGTATGTGCAGCGTGTTTAGGTTTGAAATCCAGTTTAGTTACAATAAATCATTTTCTGTATTGCGCCCTTAAAGAACATAGCCCTCTTGACATATTAAGTGTTTTACATGGATCTTGAGAACGCAATTTTCAGCTGTATATTTTGAAAGCGTAAAATTGTTTTACATGGCGTATTAGCGTAATTTTTTTCATAAAAAGCGGAAGAAATGCGCCAAAACGGAAGGGTAGGCAGGTCTACATTTGCAAGGCAGAGGAGGGAAAACGGAGAATTATTCTATTGTATCACCTCAGTCTAAAACCTATTTAACATCTGGTTCCAGATTGACGTTTTTTTTAAATAAATAAACATATAAAAGCAACAGAAACGACCGAAAAAGACCTGAAACCCGGCGTTAATTGCAGTCATCCTTTCATTTACTAACACTTAAAAATTATATAATAAATTCAAGTGGTCTAATTATATGTAGCCTCAACACTCTCCGTAAGTAAAAACTTACCACGACTCTGTTGTATGCAGATTTTGCAAACTCAAGATCCTTAAATTTGGCCTCTGTAGGAAACGTGTAGGTGGTCAGCCATTCTAGGAGTCCCCTATCTAATCCTTTCCCTGCGTTTGGGTACTGCGGAGCATGTATATGAGTGTCTATCATCCCAGGCATAAGAAATCCACTGTATAAAGCAATATTATTTTGAAATAAATTTCCCGAGGTGAGCTCCAGTCCCCCCTGCCCTTTTCGGAGGGGGGGGGGGGGGGGGGGAGTGTCATTCAAGAGGAATAAGTAATGAAGATTATTGTAGTGGGTTATATTTTCATATTCAGATTGTCCATTAAAATGCTTTACTTAGATACTACCCCCTTTTTTAGTTTCAAACTTTTTTTATATAAAATTCATCAGGAGACGTGCCTGTCGTCCTATTCTCCTTACATTTAACCACTTTTACTATATCACCAACACACAAATGCATACTAAATAAATAGATCTAAACTTCATTTCTGTGAAATATGAAAAATCGCAAGTAAAGTCTAAACTATTAATAAATGATGCAAAATTTGAAATATTTGTCAAAATCAATTAAATTACAAAATACCATCGTCGGAAACCCACGGCAACAAGCGTATGCGAAATTGGCCGTGGGTTTCCGATGATGCGAAAGTCATGTATTAAGCCACGTATTTGTTTTTACACTTCAAGTTGTTAAAAACACAAAAATAATATAGATAATCACGAATTAGACCTATATATGTGGTTTTCGTTTCCAGACTGCATGCATGGTATGCTGTGGTGTAATTAGATATCAATTAAGAATTACGTAATAATGGTTACGCTCCAGCGAAAAGGATTATAAGTACCTACTTTTTACCGATTTTTATAACTTCATGATCTTTTTCGTTCACTTTCTGTTGAAATTTCTTTAATTCTTCAATAAACACAATCTGTAAAAAGCAAAAGAAATCGATAGACTAGTACAAGTATATAATACTGTATAATAGGCACATTCATGCAGTCAAATTACATAACGTAATTAACTTAGAAATTCTTTTATAAAAAAAAAAAAATTAAAAAAAGAAGGTTTTCTTGAAAATGGAGTTTGTACGTGCTGATAAGTAACAAGGCTTGGCTTGCTATTTTTCTTCTTCAAATTCTTGTTGAATATTGAAAATTAATTAGAAGTAAATTGAATATTATTTCTTTAACTCTCATTTTCTCACAAATTTTCTAAAAAAAAAAAAATGCCATTAGGCCTAGCATGATCAAAAAAAAAATTATTTATTCTGATCACTTACTTTCATGTAGAATACATTTTTCTACATTTTCTACATTTTTCGCTCGTTAATTGTCATCAGAAATATATTTATAACTATCGGATCAACTTAATAAGGGCCGTGCATTGCTACACAATTTAAAGGTCAACGGACTCCTTGATCTGTGAACACCCTAGATAGACTTGCCCCGTTCCTACCGTTTTGTAGGTGTATTAACTCACCTGTTTTATAACGACTATCACAATGTAACAATTCACGCAAAAATTGAAAACAAATAGACTTTAAATCATATTAGCACACAATCGGATGATTTTTAATCGCTCACCTTTCCTTCTTTAACTCCGATAGCATGGTTCTGAAGTATTTTCAGACAGTCTTTCCTTGTAGAATGAACTACCATACCACAATAAACTTGCGTTTTCGCCATGTCGATGGCTGTCAATGCAATCTCTTTCTATGTAAAACTGTAGACGATAAAACAAGGTGCTAATTCACTCGTCTTCTTGCCAACCAGGTCACTCCACATGGTTGCAACAAGTTTATGTTTACACATTAGAGTTATCTCCCCATTTATGGAGTGGCGGATCATATACTGGCGTAGTAAAGCTCCAAAATTCGGCCTTCAGAAATGAGGAAATAAAAATCAGTTAGAAGAAGGAAAAAGACAGAAAAAAACATAGATTCTTCCTCAGACAAATACTTTACACCGGCGCTTGAGGCCACCCCATCCTGGGCAGCATTTTTTAGACCTCTCTCACTTTCGACTTCTTTTCACAAATAATATTTCAATGATATGTTTAAGATGTATTCTATAATTTAGGTTAAAGAAAGGCGGTAAAATCGTTAAAAAAATCATATCTGTAATGTAAATAGACATAAAATTTTACTGAATAAATTCAATAAGGATTGGGAAACAGGCAAAGCCTATATAACATATATTAATAATTATATAGTACCATCTCCTTACAAGTATTAAGGTCAAGACATAAAGTGTGCTACTTCTACATAATTATTAAGTATACTTGTAATCAATAATAAAGATGGACATTTATGAATCACTCATTTGTATAACAGAACAAAGGTATCATAATGATGACAACCTATAATATGAATACATTAAACATTCAATGTAATATGGTTATCTCAAATATACATAGTAAATTTCTTGCTAGTTTTAATTCAATTGTGTACATATGAAAAATAATCGACTTTTGGTTTTGACTTAATTGTAAATATGTTAGAAAAGGCCATAGGGTCTAAACCGGGGTTGGATTGTAATTCTGTCATCAAGAACCCTTGTAATAAGCTATGTATTCTGTAAATACACGTATGGAAATCAATATAGACGTACATTAACCCGCTACTCCTATATTGTATATTGTTCAATGACTCCAAATTAAATGAGCCATGTATAAGATATATCAATAGGTTTTTGACCGTTTCATGAGCATGATGGTTAAATCATACACGTACATGAATTGATTACACTAGCAATAGTGTATTAGGGGTGTGTGTGGGTGTTGTAGTAGCTGCCCCTACCTTAAAAAATTGCCTAAATGTACATCTGTACATGTATTATATTTGTCTTAAAGTGTACGAGTAATCCATGTATAAAGAATGATTCAAATAAAGGAATTTGATCCATTTAAACTCATTTGTAGCATTACAATCATTGAGAATAAGAACCATACACTTTTTAAATCCTACTTGTTTGTAAATAAAACCAAATGATGACCGTGCCCCCCCCCCCCGGTGGGGATTCTCCTCTGACCTATAAACACTATTGCTTTTCTTACATGTACATGGGACGCTTTCATGACTGCTTGATGTCAATAAAACGTGGAATAAAATACAGAGGCTAATGAAAATTAATTGTCCAGAATTTCAGAGATCTAATTTTGATAAAACACATCATGTATATCCATTGTATATTTAGAGTCGTCCTTCACGCTTTATGGAACTTGTGCTTTTAATGTATAAAATATTTCATATTTATCTTTAATCCATCTTTGAGGTTCAACAAGTCGGTCTAAAATCTACAGATAATCTAAAGATATTGTTATGTTTAACAACTCTTTAAGTATATGGGTGGATTTCATTCAATACTAAACTGTTCACCCCATCTATTTTAAATTCATGCTCCCTGGGGATATCTTATTTTTCTAAATTTCTCCCCCCCCCCTTTTTTTTAAATTCTCTTTTGTGGCCATTGAAGATTTGATGATCTGAAAAATTTCCAGTTTCCTTATTTTCAAATATTCCACGTATATAAACAACTATCTAAAATATGAAAGAAGCGCATATATCATCTCTGGCATATAGCAGCACTGATGACAAATGATCGTACTGTAGCATTCCACATTTTGGACACGGAGAGTATTTTTCAAACAAGTCCTAGAACATGCATACACCAGCTTAAGCAATTCAGTTGTTATCGTCAGAAAATGTCATAGAATTGTAGAGAAATAATGATGAGATGATAATGTTAATAATGTGGTTAATATGTAAATGTCATATAAATATATTATCGATATTATCACTCACTATGGAACACCTACACGGATGTTGTTGAGAACCGTTCTAAGTTGTCATAATTTGCTGTTAATAACGGAATATTATTTTTATTCTATGATTTTGCAATGACAACACCACCTGCGGATAAAGGTTTTCAATACCTCTGAATTCACCATTAAGGTTACCGTATTGTTTTCTTTTCGAATTTTTGAATAATTCTTGCATACTTCATTGGAACCGAAAACCCTTCCTAGCTCTCACAAGATCAGTCCTAAAATGACCAAAGCCTTTTGGAGCACACCTCATATTGCGTATATATATATATAATTATATTGAAACAAAAAAAAGAAGAGATTCTAGAATTTCTGTAACCTTCAAGTCCCTGAATCAGAGTTTTGACACAATATTCAGTCAGAAGTTACAATTGTGCAAAAGCGAGCCTTTACCGTACGTCTCTTATATCTTAATTATGGTACAGAAGTGATTTTCACACTATACCAGAGGCTTGACTTTGACCTTAATAGACGGATTTTGTTCAAGGCTGGTATACATCCCTGGTCATTATCTACCTGTAATACCCGGCAGTATCTTTTCTACTGACAACGACCTTCCGACTTTTCTCTGTTCTGTCACGTGGGTTTGAAGTTTATGACACAGATTCCATTCAGCTGCTACCATTTGATCACGCATAAAATTTTTATTTTGTTTATTTCAAATGTTAAAGGATGCAGACAGTCAAACAAGAAGACGATAGTTTTCAAAATGAATAAGTTTTCCCCCAGTTGTTTAGAAGTTTGTTTGACTTATTGAACTTTATGGTTGAATCTTCTTCATTAATCGAGCAATTAATTCCCTCACGATGTAAAAAGATGGAGTAATGATGTATATCTCCAATATTGCAAGATTCCTATCGAAAATCATTTCTTTTCAGAAAATGACACGAATAATTAACATAATGATATTATTGTCCATGCACACTCTCTCACATATTCAAAGCTTAATGTGAATTTGATAGATACATATTGTATACACAAGTTTATGTGATGCTGATAAGAAATTTTATTTAGATTTCCTCTTCGTTTAACTTGGATCATCAGAATATATTCTAATGAAACGACGTACAGAGATTTCCGATCTGGTCGACGGACGAAAGTAAAATATTTTGACAAAAAAGAAACAAAAATGCAGTTGATATGGCTTAAGATAATCAAAATCGAAAACTTTAACTCATTATATGTAGAGAGGACTAAAATTGTTCTATTAGATACTGGTTTACATATTTTTATTAATTTCAACGACAGACCATACTCAACATTTTATTGAGTAAAAATCATGATGTATGGCAAACAGGAACGTTTAACATATACATGTATCTTTTACGTTCAAGAGAGGTCTTCAGCCTCTGAAGTAGTTTAGTTTCCCAGGTCTTCACCGCTACTTTAGAACAACAGTTTGACTGTTACCCTCAATGTATATTTAAAGATGAACTAAACAAGTGCAATTATAGTTTGTGTTAGTACATGTAACTCGTATGTTGCAAAGCTGTATCTTAGATGGTCGTCTTGGATTTGGTACCTAGCAGCAAAGTCTATGGTAGCTTTCTCTAAATAGTGACTTGACTATCATATCATTAAACCTCGGAAAACAACAAAAATATACATAGCCAATTTGGGTTTGAACATATCCGTTGGTTCTTCTAAAAAAAAAATTTCTAAATCACAATGTCGCAAGAGAAAAGTTCCAATATAATCCCACTGTTTTTTTTTTTTTTTTTTTTTTTTTCTTTGATTTTTTGTTTTGTTTTTTGTTTTTTGTTTTTAGAAATTGCACTCATTTCAGCTTGTCATTCTTGGTTTTTGTCTGAACAGATGCGTTTCCACCTGGATGAAAGTTTACCTGATTGAATCAAGGTTGAAAACAAATGTGGATTTCCTTTTACCAGTCATTCTCAAATACACGATTCCAATTTGGTATGGTAGAATGTTGAAAATGACCTTAATTAATTCTTTAATATTTTTAACTTAACTAAAAATTTAAACTTAATACATACTTCTGAAATGCTTTCCACATAATTAAAAAAAAGAACATTTAAGGGCATATTCTTTCAAAGATGAAAACAACCGTTATAGATGTTCAAAACGTATGACTTTTGCGCACTTTATACAACCATTCCTCATCATAAAATAATACTTCAGTTGGCTTTTCGATATCATAGACAATTGGACACTAATTGAGCTCCTTTATAAGCCGAACTTTTTTTCCATTTATATGAAGCAGAACATATTCGAAAACATCTTCATGAGATTAAAAAATCTTATGTGGCCTTCAACTCGACATTCTGATATATCGACGGCGTTTTATCAATAAACAATAATTATTCCATGTCGACTCGATATATACAAGTGAACTCGAAATAAAAGACAACACAGAGTCTGTCACATCTGTTTCATATTTGGATTTTTACTGACTATAGTCGATAACAGTGAAATAACAACTAAACTGTAAGACGAACGAGATGACTTTTGAATCGGCGTTTCCATCGTCAGCTTTCCTTATTTATGTAGTAATATTCCACTGTCACCTGCATATGGTGTTTATGTCTCCCAACTTATTCGATACTCAAGAACATGCTCTTAATTAATTTTTAAACCGAGGCAGGATACTGACAAATAAATTGATGTTACAAGGATTTTAAGTAAGTATTTCGGAAATTCTATGGTCGTTATAATGACCCTTTTAGCAAATAACAACCTATCATTGGGTCATATTCTGATCGTCGTATTTCGTACTAATTGTTAGGCCTTTGTTTTTATACTGAATCGGACTACGTATTATTCAGTCTGCTTGATCAATACGTAGAGCACACGGCGGGGGGGGGGATACTTAGAGCTCACGGCAGGGGAGGGGATACTCTCTCAGAATAATGCAAGATTACACTCAATCAATAAAAGATCAAAAGTGCTTTATACTGAAAATTACATTCAGGTGATGAGGATTATTAACTAGTATATCATATTCTACAGTCAAAAGAACCCTAGTCTTCTCCCAGGATCTCTTGCACTTCATTGCAATAACGAAGTGCAAGGAATAATTGGAAATTCTAAACTTTTTGGCTTGGATATGTTTTAACCGATCTTGATTCAGGGCCATTACACACCCTCTGATCAAAGTCTTTGTAATTTAAAGAGCCTTTATTTTCCCCTCCTAACATTATTGGCCGGGCAAAGGACTGTATTCAGTAATGGCCAATATCTGCCCCTCCCCATCAAACTTTGGTGGGGGAAATCTTTAAAAATCTTCAAAGCAAAGGAGACATATGCAGACTTGAAAGCATTAAACATTTTTCATATACTGCATCAAAACTTGACGAAAAATTAACATTTCATTGGGTTAGAAACAAAATAGACTAAATGCAATTTATGTTGGAAATTTGATTGGAAATTATCAAGCGCAGCTCTGAGATCTTTGATATAATGTGTAGAATGATAGTTTAAATGATTTATGTGAAAATAATTCATTAGCAAGATTGTGCTCTTTAAAAAACTAAAGTCAAAAATAGTACAAAATTTGTGCTATTTACCCTCTTTTAAAAATATAAGAGAAAACTCAATAGTTTGAGACGTCAAGGACAAAAAAAAGCCTATATTTTTCACAGTAGATTATAATATATTTTGTTTATTCAGATTTATTTTATATAATATACAGTGACGCCTCGTTTATCCGGACGCCTCTGTCCCCAACGAAAACGTCCGGATAAATGAATCGTCCGGATAATTGAATCTCATCTCAAAAAGCACTCTCTATGCATGTATATATGCACATTCTTGTTTCAAATGTGACAACAAAGAAAAAAAAATTAAATTATATTTTGGTTATTTGTTTTAAAAGCAGTAATTGATTAATGAAAAAATATATTAAAATGTAATTTACACAATAAAAAAAAATGGATGGGCAATTTTATGCCGAGACCTCCTTTTTTTAATTCGCCTTCTCTTTGGCATGTGACTTCATGGGCTGAGCAAATTTTGATCTACTGTTGTTTTATTTTGTCATATACATGCATTATAATTATTGAAGCTCATATGATATGACAGAACTGTTCAGCATCATCATTGAAAATGTTCAAATATAAACTATAACCCTTGCCCGTATATTCATTGCACAGGGTTACTATAAAATTAACTGGACAGTGCAAGCTAACTCAAACAAAGTAATAAAAACATTCTTAAACACAAGCCATCTTCATGATTATCAATATTATTTTTTTTCTACAGACGCTAAGTTTGAATTTCGATCATTAAAAAATACCTTGAAAAACGTAATCAACTTCTGTACGTAACGCCAGTTTTATATGTAATGGACGTTTTTATACGGTAGTGCATTAAATAGAGATATTTCTTCAATTATGTACCTTTCTATACTGTCTTGTGGGAAAAAAAGCGTTTCAAATACAATTACGTTTTTTAGAAATGGAACATCGTATTTTAAACTAACGCAATCGACATGATAAAGAGCAAATACGAAATCGCTCGTTATTTATTGTTCATTTTATTTACAACTCTCAAAAATTCTCCTGAATTTACCGATGTATATACGGTTAGCAATATGATTTTGAACGGATTATTATTTAATTAATGCACAGTGTCAGCTAAATTCTTTGAGCTTCATAATAAAGATAAACGTGTGATTGAATTGGGGTAAACACACGCTAATTATAGACGCTATTGTTTGTAGGTCACAGGTAACCACCTTCAAACTGACTGCATGGCCAATGCTTTTACAACAATTAACACGAATGCAAGATAAGTGTGAAAATGTCGTTCCTAGAAAAATTACCGTCCGGATAAACGAGTCATTTTTCAATGAACTATTATATTTTGTAGTAGAAATTGACCGTCCGGATACGGAACGCGAATTTCCGGATTAATGAGACAAAATAACGTGGAAAAAATCGGTTCCCAAAAAATATCGTCCGGATGGTGAAGCGTCCGGATAAATGGCGTCCGGATAAACGCGGCGCCACTGTACACAATTGTTTACATTTCAAGAGATTTTCAAAGTTTGACTTTTATTGGGATACGGATATGCCGTTACCGTGTATAGTTCTTTTCAATTTTGTTTCGTTGACTGTTTTTTATTTACTTCAAAGTAAGGAGAGAATCACCTTGTCTCTAGTCATGATCTCCTTTCAACCAATTATGAAGTCTCATATGGCCCCTTTTAATGGTATAAAGTAAGGTTAAAGTTTGAATTTAACTTGGATTTTTTTGCAATTGTCGATGTAAATTGAAAACGCAATGTAAAATTTGAAAACCTTTAGACTTGATATATGGAACAACTGACAGGTAGAAATTTGAGGAAACAAGCATAAATTTACGATATTCATTCCAATTAAACATTGGTATAGAAAAAGTGTGCCATTTATTTGTACATACTTTTAAATCGTTTGCAAAATACGATGAGAAAACTTCCCTCCACGATTTTATTTCATAAGCATGGACCTGATGTGTATTACAAACCAGATGCTCAACATCTATGAATTAACAATTGGAATAGAATTAAATCATTAAACGGGTTTGGCATGGTCTGTTCTCTGTAATTATATAAAAGGAACGTTTAGTATTTGTCAAGATTTTTAAAATAAAATTGCCATTAACTTTCCTTGATTCAAGGCTTCATCAGGAATGACATTCTGAATAATTTCTGAACAATTTAAAAAGATTATGGCACAGTCTAGAGCCTGGACGGGCTCCAGTTTGTAGACTCGAATATGTCTCATTCCCAAATAGATGAGAGATAAAACATCTGGGTCAGTACTTTTTTCTTTGCTTTTGTTTTTTTTTAATTTATTATTATTATTTTTTATCATTTTCTTAATTCTTTTATTATTTCTATCTGGCCTTTATACATTAAAATCATAACAACGCCTTCTTTATTTTTAATAATTATTTATGCAGAAGTGAAAGAAGAATTAGATGCATTACACGATCAGTATGTAGTGGTCCCTGCTGACAAGGCATGTAACAACATTGTCTTTGTTTGTAAGCCTCAATATTTGAATTGTATTTTAGAGGAATGATGATTTAATTCTGCAAGTGGTAACTCAACGTATAGCTCCCTTTCTAAGGAGGAAATTTTCAAAACCATATGTCAGTTTTAAATATTTTTAATAGTATTCCCAACAATCAAAATGAATTTGAATTACCATACCTATACTGGATTCCAAAACTCCACAAAACTCCTCACAAACAGAGATACATACCGGGTTCCAGTAAATTTTCTGCCAAGCCTCTTTCTTTACTCCTCACTAAAATATTTATAGCAATGAAGGAGACACTTCAGGATTACTGTACAACAGTATATTCAAGAAGTGGTGTAAGTCAGAAGTGGATACTTAAAAACTCCAAGGAACTTTTAGAAAATTTGAAATCACAAAATTTTGACAACATCAATAAAATCAAAACTTTGGAAAACTTTATACGACTATTTCCCACGATAAATTAAAATCCAGGCTTTTTGACTTCATAGACAGCTGTTTTTCAATAAAAATGGAACTCGTGCATGTAAATAAACTGGTCAATTGCAAATTTTTTATGTTAAAAAACATTCTGATTGTACACACAGGTACTATGAAGTTTACAAAGAATCTTGAGTTTCTGATTGACAATATCTATGAAGTTTTTGGAGATCAGGTCTTCCAACAATCTGTTGGAATTCCCATTGGTACCAACTGCGCCCGATTATTAGCAAAACTATTTTTGTATTAATATGAAGCAGAATTCATTCAGAAACTTCTACATGGGAAGAAGAAAACACTTGCTGTGGCCTTCAACTCGACTTTTAGATATATCGACGACGTTTCATCAATTAACAATAGTTACTTTCATTCATATATCGACTCGATATATCCCAGTGAGCTAGAAATAAGATACCACAAAGACTGAAACAACTGTTTCATATCTGGATATTTTACTAAAAAAAGACTTTAGATGGTAACCTAACAACAAAGCTTTATGATAAACATGATGATTTCAATTTTTCAATCGTCAACTTCGCAAATTTTATGACCTTTTCAGCAAATACAACCTATCATTAAGTCAAATCTTGACTGACGTTTTTCATACTAATTATTAGGCCATTATTTACATGTTGAATTGTCTACATATTTCCCGATCACGACAAGGAGCATATTGCGGGTGTGACCGGTCGGCAGGGGATGCTCATACCTCCATGGCACCTGATCTTACCTCTGATGTTTTTGGAGATCCGATTTGTATTGTATAAATGGACTTTGAGCTTGAATACTGTTCTTAACTCCATATTTCATTTCTAGTATTAGTATGACAGTAGATCGAGAAAAATCCTAACGCATGCAAACTCCAAAATGTATACATGTGCAAGGTAATAAAAGAATATGTATAAGACAAACGTATAACATGCATCTATACTATTATATGATTTACAAACTAGAATGTGCACTTGATCCTTTAAATAATAAAATTTCATTAAAAAAAAACGTAACAAATGTAGAAACAGTAAATGTACAATACATTTCTCTCTCTCTCGCTCTCTCTCTCTCTCTCTCTCTCTCTCTCTCTCTCTCTCTCTTTGGTCACATAAATTTTCAATTGCTTCTAAAATTTAAATCGATCTATATATGTAGAAAATGCTCAAACAGTTTTTTTAACCAAGTACAGAATACATCGATATTAACAGGAAACTGATTTTGAAAATAACTTAATTTACCAAAAGAGTGGGATATATAAGATAAAAAAAACTGATTTCCAAATAACAAATACTGGCCAGTTAAAACAGAAATATTTAATCAAAAATAGAGATAAATCTAAATGATATTAAGAAAATTGAAGTAGAATCAAACATTTAATGATGGTCAAACCAGGGTTAGTCCAAATGAAAGGCATATAAAACCAGCTGCAGGGCAAAGTTTTTTTAAAAGGGAAATTTTTTTCTATATCAGTGAGACAATTCAAGGTTTTAGAACATGACCATGATCGTCTCTATAAATTGGAGATTCGTATAATTTCATTCACTGAAACTTTTTCGGACGGTTGAAACGTTTCAAATGAAAATGTTGTCTTGGTATCTAATACAGCTTATGCTTTCTTTGTACTTCATTTTTGGAACAACCCTATCAGTGGTAGGAATATTATGTTATCTTTCTGATATTATCGAAAACTTTATTCAGGTATCAGGATCATTAATGAGTATCTTTAAAAAGAGAGTTCACCGAATGGTTTTTCTTTTCAGTCATCTTGTCATAAATATCATAATTATTTCTTTACTTTTAAGTATGAAATGCTATTCATTTTTCCCGTATACATATTTAATATATTCTAAAATATAACGCTTAAGTGTAGTTCGAATATAATCTGTCTAAATCAAAATAAGACTCAAATATTGCACAAGTCATGGATATTAATAATTTTCTTTGGAAAATTTCAGCCTCATGTCGATAAGAAATCCACAAAGTTTCCAATTCGAATCATATCAGCATCTACGGAAGTGTGGTCGGGTGACACAACATATAGTGTTGAATTTGAAACCACGACTGAACATAAGGCTAGGGTTGCCTGGTTCTTGTATCATATGGATAAGAGAATTCCTGTAGTTTGTGAGTATTTTTAAGAATGTACCTTGAATCCTTTCCTTAATTTTTCCAATGCTTCTCCGAGACAAGAACACAACTTTAATTTTGAAATGATATGGCGTTTGTCTTCCAAATGCCTTTCTAGCTTTCTTTATGTTTCTTGTAAATATTTTATTTTTGGTGAAAATTCTTCTCCCCAAAGAGTTGTTTGAAATATTTAGTACAAGTTGATTACGTCAATGTACGAACGGTTCTTACATTTTTTATGAAATAAGTATTAGTGGATAGCCCCCTCATCCTACTTTATAATTAGAAAATTTAATTTGTTGATCACTAATTTTGTCTGGCTCAACCATGAGAACAAGAAATATTGATGTTCGGCCAAAGAAAAGTTAAAACCACTGACAGTATTTCCGTGTGTAGATACATATATTTGATTTCGATTGCAGTGCCGTTGGTAAATGGATTCTACAATGAGTTAACTTTTAAATTCTTTTAAAATACTACACCTACAATTTTAGCGGATTATTTCTATTAGTCAAACTAGAATTTTTGCTGATTTTGGTAAAACTTTTTTTTACTATCAGTTTTTGAATAAGATTGTTTTTCGTCTTTACAAAAACATGTAATAGATTTTTCAATATGGAGATTTTTTCCACTAATATAGCGAAAATTACATTCCCAATGATCTTAACTCTAAAATTTTACAATGTAAGTAAAAAAATAAATAACCCTGAATAAACCTGTAAACATTTTAGCGTACCTCGACGAAGTCGAGTTTAGTTTATGCTAATGCATGTTTTAGATTAGCTTATGCCGGCGATGGCGTCGGCGTCCCAGTTAAAGTTTTAGGCGTGTCAATTCACAAGAAACTATAAGCTCCGCCTGGACAAAACTTGATGGATACTAGGGTGGACACTCCCAGGCTTGCAACGGATGCTGGATCTGATCTTCGTTTTATGGATGAATGAGCTAATTAAAGTGTTTTTGGATAAAATTCATTTCAAAGCAACTATAAGCCCTTTGGTGATCAAACTTGCCCGTAGATGCTTCTAGGGATTGACACTACCAGACTTGCGACGGATGGTGGAACTGACACACATTTTCCAGATGAGTGTCCAAATTAGAATGGGTAATGGGGACAGGATTAGACTTGCTTCTGAGTGACCAGGTTCATGATTTCTGAGTCCGTCCATTTCCAAGTTTTCCTATGTCTTAACTGTAACCAACTTGCAAGGATGATGTATAAAGGGATGTTCACTACCAGACTAGCTTCGGATGCTGAATCTGACCTACATTTTCCAGATAGGTAATCAGGGTAAATTTTGTGGTGTATCTCTTTTCCCAAGTAACTATAAGGCCTGTTATGCTTAAACTTGCATGGATGATGCATCTAGGGATGGACACTACCAGACTTGTTACGGATGCTGGATCTGATCTACATTTTCCGGATGACTAAACAGGTTAAAGGTTTTGGAGCAGGTACATCCCAAAGTAATCATCAATCTTACCCAAAGCAACCAGCGTCGATATTGATCTCGGGATTCATACTAACTAGAAAAAAAGATGTATAAGAGTTGCCTTCTAGATAACATTCGTTGAGGTGAGCTTCTTAACCTTTGATAACCATGTTTTCTCTAGAAGTTGGTACCTATAATTTTCAACCATTAATTGCAGACACAGTCATAACACCCATGTTTAAGAAAAGAAATCGGGAATTAAAGATACGCATAACCTACTGAATATCTCTCTAAAATGATACATGTATTTTGATACTAAAATGCTATAAATCGTTTCTATTTGTAGTTGGTGATCCCTCATTCTCCTCCTCCTTATCTTATCAATGGCCCTACAAAAACCGCCGTATTGCCAGGTTAAGAACCAGAGAAGAAATTGACACTCTAGTGGAGAAGAAAATAGAATTTTCGGTTACTCATGATCAGTCAACAGTAGCTATAACGTTCGATGATATCAAGAATACTAGTATAAACACCACCACCACTCAATCTTTTGATGACTTTCAGGTATATCTTAATTTCAACCGTAATTGTTTCGTTGTTTTGGATAGTAGATTTACTTTTTTTTGGTTTCCCCTCTTTCGCAAAAGTGCAGGGACATTAAATCTTATTCGTGTACGTCCGTCTGTCTGTCTGTTACGAAAACTTTAACCTTTGTCATAACTTTTGTATGAGAGATGAAAGAGCTTTCATATTTCTCATGAGCATTAAATTAACTTGACAAGAGCTTTTTGCATGCAATATCAATCTTGATCTCATGACATGACCTTGAACTTTGACATACTTTTCAATAGGAGAGAAGATAGGGATTTCATATTCGAACATGTGCATTACAAATGACAATACCATTCCGGGTCTGTTATAAATATTTGATCTCATTTTGTCTTGAAGACTGACCTTCTCATAAAAAAATTAACTGTGACTGTATCTTTTGCACCAAAAGAGAAGAAAGGCTTTCAATTTTTATTTTATTTTTTTTTTTGAAATATACATTACCTTTGACATTTTTTCAAATGTACTCTGAGTTTTTAGCTCATGACCTAGACCTGCTAGTTTGACATTCTAAACCTTTAATTTTGTTCGTAACGTTTGAACAGGGACATATAGTATAAACTTCTTTTAGCATGATGGACAGACAATTAAGACAATTTTAATGTGTCATAGATTATAGCATCCCATAATCCTCTGAATTTGCTTGTTAATCTTTGAAATACTTTAGTAAATTATATCTTTGAAAAGCATAAACAGCTGAACAAAATGACATAGATAATTTTTAATAAAATTTTCGAAGCTTGTCAATATTTGTCAGACAATGTGAATGCTTATATTTTAAGTGAATTTTCAAGTATTTGTTAAAAAGTATACCTCCAAGTATTTTGTGTTTTTAAGATACATATTTTTTAAAAAAAAAAACTCACTTTTTTTCAGTTTGATATTTCTGTGATAAATTTGACCCAAGCGAACGAAACGACAAACATTGAGTTTGGAACTTCGTATGAAGTATCGGGAAGTGCAAAGAATGTAAATGACCAATTAGTGTTGTAAGTGGAAATCAATGATATGATTGAAGATTATATACAATATTGTGATTTCAATCTCCATGTCTTTTTGTGTTTCTCGTCTCTTAAAAAGTCATAGTGTCGATCTTAAATTAAACATAATTACGTATAACTTTGTAAACCAAAAATCATTCTACTGTTTGAAAAAGACTGAATATTCATGTTCGACACAAAGTTAGAAGAGTTTTTATAAAGTCATTTTCATATTTTAAATTGTTTAACATAAAAATATATTTAAAACACATTTAATTTTTTCAATGAACATACATTTATTTATACAGAGTATTTCATACTCTCGTGTTACTTAGTAATTAATTATATATTGAGATTTTTGAATAAGTGATCAACTGCTGAATACATATACATCATATATAATAAAAATTCTGTTCATGCTTCAAAATTTGTGGTAAACGATTATACTGTAATTTACATGTAGGTCCAGATATATTGTAGAGGAGATCGATAACAGCACAGGTCGAACTGATGTTAAATTTTTGAGCACTGCAAGAAAAATATCTGACAAAAAAGCTACTACATATTCCTGGGAATACAACGACACTGCTCTTGTTCTTGATATTACAGAAATTAATATAGCATACGGTTGGTACTCTTAGCCAGTTAAGAAATTTGTCGAAAAACATTACGTAAGTCGTATATATAGAATGCAAAAAAATCTAAGTTTACTTTAAAGGCGTCTGATCCCCTCTTCAAACAAAATCAAACAAAATTAACATACACACACAGACACACACCCTCACACCCCCCCCCTTACACACACACACACACACCCTCACACACACACACACACATATCTATCTATCTATCTATCTATCTAATATATATATATATATATATATATATATATATATATATATATATATATATATATATATATATATATATATATATATATATGTTTCATTATACATCATCATAAACTTAGTAGTAAATACACCGATTCTGCACTGTGCGATACGGCATATCAAGGACCGGTCCGAAAATCCACATCACGTATCGAAACAGCGTGCAAAAACCCATATCAAACAGGAAGTATCGTTTGTATAAAGTTTAAAAGTCAATTAACTTGATTTTATTTAAACATACATGTAAAATAATTCTTTAATAAAATTCGTGGTCTTATTTTTTTTCGATTACCTAAAATTGTCTCGATTGAATTTTAAAGAAAAAGGTCATAAACAGGCACGAAACATTCTTCAATGACTTTATGTGTTAACTCGCATATTAAGTATTTTATACATCTGATAAATAGCATACTACATGTACATACTAAAATCCATATCATATATATGTCACATCATCCCTCATGGCCCGAGTGATATGGGGCCACTCGGACTGATATGACATATGATATGGATTTTAGTATGTAATATTCTCTATTTATTTAAGTGTTGCAAATGATTTATCAATAATGACCATAAGAGCTGACATTATGTACGTGAATTAATTATCGATATTTGGAAAAGATAAAGGTTCCAGATTTTTATTCTTTTTTTTTGGGGGGGTGATTTTAGTTTTTTATGCATACCAATATATGAATAAAATTTGATCAAGAGACATGGGAACTGTTTGTTAAATGTTTAAATTTAAGTGAAAAGTGTCGTTTTCGGTGTGCGAATAATAACATGTCTATGACTGTCAATAAAACTGCCTCGAGACACCAAAGGTAGATACATTCATGTTTTATTCTAAATGCTTGAATTTATCCATACTCTCCTATTATGCCATATACCTAAGTCATTGACTTATGACTTAAGAAATAGGATAAAATATGTTATAAAAATTGTGAAACATGTTCTATTAATATCATTGCAAAACATTTATAATTGAATTTATGTGGGTTTTTTTCTCTCTTTCTCCAAAAATCTTTTATTTTATATTCATATTGAAATTTATAAAAAGACACACATAACCAAAAATCACTTTATTTTTACCATGTAACAAATGCATTTGAATCTAAAACCAAGTATAAACAAGAAGCTAATAGTATAATGATACCCTATATTGACCTAAAAGTAATCTTTGGCAATGGAGTTGTTTATTTATTTACATGTTATATATTTTTTTGTCAGAAAAATATATCTTTATTATTTCTGCAATTTAAGCAATTTTTTGTTTTGGATTTTAAAAGAAAATTCTCAAAGTTAGAATACATATTCTGCTTTTTGAATCTTAGTAGTGATAAGTATTTCATTTAAAAGCCTTCTGATAGTTATTATCAATAACATCATTTGAGTTTTTTTTCATAATTTTTTATAAGTTGTATGAAAACAACTTTTTTGCTCTTTTGCTTGTTTGTGTTTAGCTCAGCATGCCAATACAATAGCACCAAATCTGTTTGTAATGAGATTTATTTTGATGTAAAATTCAGGGAAAAAATGAATTGCTCTGAAATCAAAATTAAGGGATTGTGTTCTGTGGTTCTTAAGTATAACTTAACACACATAAAGTCAAATAATTTTGATTTTTTTCCCTCTTTCTTTAAAAAGAACCCGATGCTGTGATCAACAAAATGGTTTTGCGTTCTGAATATCATTTCTGGGAACGGGATCAGCAACAACCTTTAAACGGAATAGCTCTTTTTGAGGAATATGACATCACTAATCCTGATAAAAAGGCCATCAAAATCGCCCACTGTGAGGGTATTGGTGACGTCACAATTAAAATAGGTCTTCGTGGAAAGAATGGTATTGGAGACATACCACCAGGAGAGATTCCAGAAGTCCAGATTAATTACGGATACTTCAGAGAGGCATTTGCCTTACTGAGGTATTACTCTGGAAAACTGGAAGACTATGAAGCTTATTGCTTTCTTCAATAGATCATCAAAGTTTACTATATTACATAATGATATATTGTGTCTTCAAAATCTGATCATATAATGGTCTATTAAAACTGATAAACAATTACTGGTGTTGTTTTCTTTTTAATATTAGGCATAACAATGATTAATCTGCTGAGTATCAGTGTATCGTTTTTATTGTGTAACACACATATGGATGGAACGGGTAAATAAGAAATGTACTGTTAATATCCTGTTCCCTAACAAATATAAGACATTATTATATTATACTGAGCATATCGGGCTTTTGAATTTAAATTCCCCACTAATGGTAAAAATATCTTTGTCGCAAATCGTTTTAGGAGTGTAAAAGTAATATTATTTAATTGTGTGATGCACCATATCACAAGGAGACTTGACAAGGAAATGACTTAAAATGTTTTAATCACTGGAGCAGCAGAAACCAATGATAAACTTTTCAGGACATTACGGTTTTCAGCTCGGGTGAATATTTCTGTTCAGTAAAAGACGACAGCAAGGAAATAGATTTTTGTGAAAGAAAAACAAGATTAAAAATGGTTATGAAATGTTTGCACTTAATAAACGTACATACAGTATATAATTTCCAAACTTCAGCATTTTTGCAAAGAAATCTTTGAATGCCTGTAGGAATTAAACTGTAGCAGTCAAAATGATCTTTTTTAAAAGACTCTTTCTTGTGAAAAGTGTCGGTCTTTTTATTACAATGGACTATTTAGTAGTTAGAGTTAAGGCACAAGTAAATATTCTAAATGGTGAGTAATAATTATAGGGTTTTTTTATATTCAAAATTTCTATATTTTGAAAAGAAAGAAAGAAATTATTCTCAAAGATATTTTAGTAAATATCAATATTGAATATACTTCACTTAGGTATAAAACATATAAGGAGTAAATTACTCAAATTGCGCCTATTGTATAAATACATTCATTGTTCTTTGTTTTTTTCTTATTATGAATTGTATTGCTTGACCCATATGGGTGTATTATACAATAAAGAATTATGCAATAAAGAATTATTAAACTTTCCCTTTATAAAACAGCAAATACAAACACAACTGTATTTATGTATAATAAACTGTCGTATTTTGTACTAGTATGCGTAAAGGTACATGTATGTAAAGATTCACACAGTTTATATTGTAGGTTTGAAATATCATGTTGATTATTAAGAAAAAGAGTGGTATTTCGAGCACAGAGTGTAAAAACTACGTATAATAACAATACTTCAATTAACCTTTTTTCTTTGTATGGTTTTATTTTTAGTGGCAGCTAATTTACCAAATAAGGTTTATTTGCCTGAAAACATGGAAAAGGGTTACACTGTATACACTGTTAAAGAAAATATTAATCCCGAAGACCCAGACAATATACTTACTGCATATCAATTTTATCCATCAGTAACCAAAGCTATTTTCCAATACAACGAGAAAAGTAAGTGTATTATATTTCAATTTTGATCTGTACGTTGCAGAATAATGAATCTTCTTGCAATCGCTTTATTCATGAATGGTTTGAAAAAGTAGGCAACAGACGTACATTTTCTTGAGTGCTATTTACTTCTTTATGCAGATCCATATATACCACATATTTTATCTGTCATTGTGATGATTGATTTGTCCTCATTTCTATCATTTGCTATCAAATAAAATGTTTTATGCTTAATACAAGTTTTTTTCTATATTGCTAATTTTATTTTTGTTAATAGATAATTTATAATGATAATTAACATACAGACTATATGCTCATAACTATGAGTTGAGTCCTTTGTAATTTTTTCTTATATATTTTTAAACATAAAATTAAAGACCTGATGCCAATGTTGTAGGTAAACAAGTTTCTGTGATAAATGGCAGTTTGCTGAATTTTGAAAGTCTCAACAAGTCGTACTTGATTCTTTTCAAAGAAAGAAATAATCCTTCCAACGTATATCCGTTAGTGATAGAATTAGTCGACGTACTCGAAGCCACAGATTTCAAACAGGAGAAAACAGCAGCTGGTATTTGCTGTGATGACGTCAGAAGGCTGTTCTGGGTGGTGCCTGTTTCATCTGCATTAGAATCTATCTTGATAACACTCGGAATCCTATTTTTAATACGCTGGTAGGTCAAAAATAAAGTTAAGTATGGTATATAATCTTTAATGTACTGCAATAAACATTTTGATGTTGATTTGATGTCCGAAAAGTTGAATGCTTTAAAAGGAATAACTAAAACATTTTATCAAGACTATCATACATTTTATTTATTTAACGTATATCGATTATTTGAACAGTTTCTACTTTTACTAATTAAAAGGAGTATTAAGTGTTTTACTTTTTTCGTGTATTTTTTTTTTTTTTTTTTTTTTTGAATGTGCCTTTAAATGAAAATAATTATACATTAATTCGATCAAATCCCAGGCAATTTTGTTTGCGATAAATGTACCGAATCGGATTCTATGTTCACTCGGCAAACCTTCACATGCAGAACTGCAATATCAGACGAGGTACAAATGGCTGATAAATACATTGTTTGAAAAGCAAATGATATTGATTCCGTGTAAAAAAAAAAGTAATATTAAATAAATAATTCAACCGATATAACTCTAAGCAAAAGGTCTGAACTAACGTAGAAAACAAGGAGAGATAACGCATCAATTGATTATGTAATCCAAAATTTAGAAATAAAAATTTGATTATAAATTGCAAAACTCATCATGTCAAATGACGTTAATGTTGAAAGTGCGGAACATTTAGTGTACATAATATGTGATTTGAATCCCCTCCCCAGGGAGTCAGAATAGGTGAAAGGCGGCGATGATCAGGCTATTTAACCAACGAGAGTTAGTTGTACCTACATGTAAAATGATATGTATGTCTTAGGACCAATTATAGAAATATTTAAAAAAAAAATCTCTACAATTTTTGAAATGCCTTGAATCTTTATTTATGTCTCGTGTCTGAAAATGATGTAGAAATTAACAGGTGTTAATTTGGAGATTTATAATACATGAATGAATTATTAAAGTGATCAGCAATTAAAAAAATATTAATTATACTTATTTATTTATATTCAGTCTACTAAAGAAAGGAAAACAGACAACAGTAAAACCGTTTGAGAAATAAGGAAATATACGTTCTGAAAATGATGATGGCAAGAACTTCATGTCCACTATATGCAATTATCCTTAATCAACACATTTATTGTTTAATTTAATAAATACATTTAACTATTTGTGTTATGATTTTACTGTTTTATAACGACATATAAGAATCCATGCAAAGGAAACTCCTGACAAATTCAATAATATTTGAAGCACTGTTTGAATGTTTTATTAATCTAAAATATTTTCCCGACTCCATTAGTACATTTGAGAATTATAAATACCCTCACACTAAATTGGTTGTAACGTTTTCTGGCTCTCCAAACTGTAACAGTTTTGTCATATTTATTTATCGGGTTTCAATAAATACAAAATTTATAAACTTTGTATTTACTGCCATTTTATTCAAATTTCGTTATATATATATATATATATATATATATATATATATATATATATATATATATATATATATATATATATATATATATATATATATATATATATATATATATATATATATATATATAAGCACTAAAAATGACCAACGACACGAACAATAATAATTGTCAAATTTGTCAAATACTAGGGAATTTGTCCTGTCAAACAGACAACTGCATTTATCTCATCAGTTGCAAAGTTTGCTCCAAACAGTATGTTGGTGAAACAGGAGATCTCCGCAGGAGAGTCAATAATCACCGTTCTACCATTAGGACCAAAAAACTCAATGAACCCGTTGGGGAACATTTCAACTTTGAAGGTCACAAATGGGAGGACATGACAATAGTGGTTATTGACCATAATCCAAGATGGACAGACGCGCAGAGAAAAGGCAAGGAAAAGTTCTGGATGTACAGGCTGAAGTCATTCCGCCCTAATGGTATTAACAAACTTAATGACTTCACCAGGATGAACGTGAACTAGACCCAATCCCGGATTGTAACAAACAAGTTCATTCTCTCTATATAGTGTAAATTTTACCGTTAATTCGTATTAGTAATCCTGGAACAACCTACCCAAATATTTACAGCTCACATTTTTGTTTATTTCTTTTTTCCGATTTCCAAATTTATAATATATCCAAATTCATATTTCAAAATTGTCCTTCCGTATTATCTTTCTTTAATTTCTTTTTATCATGTAGAGTTACGCTATTTTGAGAGAATAAGACAATGTACGATTTACTGTTGGCCGTAATTAATTAGCGATAATTAATTCGTTCAATTATGTAAATCACACTTCACCAGACTACACCCGATAGACCGGACGCAATTCATAGCGCTCCGGATTTCTTTGTTCACAACTGTTTATAAACTCCAAATTAAACATGTAACATTGTAAATATTTAGTGTTTGGTAGTTTAGTAGTAGTGCTAGTTGTTTTTGCTTCTCTATTTCCTTTGTTTTTATGACTTCTTAACTTTTTTCTTTGTCCTGAGGAAGGGACAGGTTGTCCCGAAAATTTGACAATTATTATTGTTCGTGTCGTTGGTCATTTTTAGTGCTTTATATAAATTTCCATCCGTGACCTTGTATCTACTTAGTAGATCCGACACTTAGGATATACAGTGTTGTTGGTTTTTAGTGTTTTTTATAATTATATATATAGATAGATAGATAGATAGATAGATAGATAGATAGATAGATAGATAGATAGATAGATATTGAATTTACAAGATGGCAGTAAATGCAATATTTCAAAATAAATTTAGCAAGTTATTTGTATGGGCAATTCAAACAGAATCTTTAATCATCCAAGGTTTTACGGCCAAATTAAATTTTTGTTCTTATTCATAAGTTCCCTGTCAAAAGGGGACCCCGTATACAGTTGTATTTTGATTATACTGGTATGTAAATTATGACATAGAATTTGCGTCAACAACGTTAATGATGTATAAGTTTAACATATTCATTGAAT